AATTCAGTACATATATTCATTTAGAACTGGCAAGATACTCAACAGATTTTTTAACTTTATGTTAACATTGTTTATTTATTTAGATGTCCAACTATAGAAATTTAAAATGAAAATGCCGTGCATAAACAATTATTGTCATTTACATAAGTATCAGTCTTTGACCACTTTTCTATTCTTAATAGCTCATTTTAAAAATAATATTAGGTAGGTATGTGTAATTACAACACTATAACAAGCAGACAAAAAATTTCAACATAAAATTATTAATTTTCATTTTAACCTGACTGATACAGATGTTAGATATGTTTTTTTTTTCGGAACTCTACTAATTAACATAGTAATCTAAAGAAAATATTAATAAATGACTGATAGTTTTCCCACCGTTAAATCAATTTTATGTATGATTCCTCCACGATAAATTTAGATATTTATGTAAACGATACAAAAAATTTAACGATGCAAATAAACAAAACACCTTCACGTTAAAGATATGATATGACAAGACTCGCTTTGTGGTATCTTACTCACGCTATTCACATAACTCTACCATTTATATAGTATAACTATACATATAATACCTATAATTGAGGTAAAGTAGGCACTTGTATTACATAATTGTGCCCTAAATTCGCCTTTTAACTCATAGTACAGTTGGGATATGTTATGAGCTAAAAGCAATATGAATAAAAGGATATCACGAAAATTTCTATAGCGTGATAACCTACCCAAAACGCCTTGGGGGATACCTCCGTTAGATTATGAGTGAGATCTCCTCCCACCTGTCACATTTTTTATTCATAAGGCAGATGTGATCTGCCCAATTCTGTATTCTATTTCTTACATATTGTATCAGTAGGTATACAATCTAAGTGTGTTATTAGAAATTCGATCAGTTTTCTTTATTCATAATTTACGAAATTCATTATCGTTCTTCGGCAAATGGTATACCTAAATTAAACAAGTAAGGTACACGACATGTCAATAAGTTTATGCTGTAGTGATATAGGTTGCTCTACATTGGCGTTGAGAACCTATAGTAGTAGTGGTGGTTTTTAAGCTGAGCTAGTTGGTTTCGGATACGAAAACAGTCACGAGATCAAAACTTTCATAGGATACATATAATCGACGTAATCTATTTGCCTGACCATTTACTTCGACACTACATTTCGTCTTAGTAGCGCGAAAAGTAGAAACAAATCGTTGACTGATTCTGAGGTCTGTTTTTTATTAATCGATCCCAAAATTTGCTCTGTTAAATTATTTAAACATCATTTAGAGACTTGTGACTATTGGTACATAACAGACTACCCTAATACTTATATTTTTTTGTTCTCTATTACTATAATCCATAAGTTAACAATATGTTAGCTATTTTCGAAGAAAATTATTTTAAAAGATCTTGATCTTATACTCCTCCGAAGACTAAAAGCACCAATGTTTCAATAATTTATGATTACAAGTGGGAGTCATAACAATTACGTAATTATAATATACTTGTTTAGTCACATTATGAAAATATTTTTTTTCCCAAATGACAATTTAAACTTATAAATACGAATAGCCATGTAACACCAATAAATATTAATAACATCAACAGTGCAAAATGAACCCGTTTTCTAACTTTTAGTTTTACTTTTAACCTATATAATTAGGTAGGCAAATAACTGAAATAATGCTCTATTTTAATTAGTAAATAAGTAATTAATAATAATACAGGAATTCAATTTGAAATGTGACTAATGTAAATTATTTTTTCTAAATGCTCATTATATGCTATTGATATACTATACTAATTAATATTAATGGTCGATAAATAGGTACTTACATCTGGGTATTTTATATCCATCGTGGGAATAGCTTTAGTCACTGCCGGAATTTGAGAATTGGATAGCTTTTCCATACTAAACGATGACAGTATTTAAACTAAGTAAGCACATGTCGTTGCTGGAGCATGATATTAATGATATCGAGAGCGCTGATCAGCCAAGAAATGGTGAGCATCGCACTGCACATCTCACTTAATAACTGGACAGAAACTAGCCACTGTTATATTTACACGAAATATCCTTCCATAATTTTAGAAAGAATTAAAAGAATACATAGGTTATAAATTAACAGCTTTACAGAGGAAATAAACCAAGAAGCAAGCGCGTTAAATATATGTTAAATCAGAAAATATAAAACGCAGGAACGCGCAGATGTCAAGTTTTGCATCGACCGAACTCTGAATGAACATCTAGGTCAATATCAAGACTCCACCCCCGCCATACCCTTCACCCTACTTCACCCCCTCGCTATGAAATTTTCTCTACTAACTAAAATGAGATGAAAATTGTATTATATCTGACCGAAGAATTGCTACTTATTATTTATTTACCCACGTACGTAGTACAAATAACTCACGTACGGAAAAAATATATTTGCTTATGCCTCTATGTATATATTAGAAGTCCATGAAAGATCTATCGCGAGGGATAGAAAATCTTCTCAGCTAAAATGAATTATATGAATGATTTTATCTATAATATGCACAGACTTCTATATTAATATATAAGACATATAGAGATAGTAGTACATATAGATAGTAATACATATAGAGATAGACAATTGAATTAACACTATTAACATATTCTCGATTATTTAATTTACAATCAGTATACAACGACTACCCACTTAAAATTAGTACGTACATGGTATTTTCTATTCATACGTTGTATGCATTTATTTATGATTCAGTGAACATAATAGAGTAATAAAAATTTTAAAGGGGAATGAACAGCGGATGCCAGAAGTGTGCTGAAGTCGGTTGTAGCGTTCCGGCTTAGAAGGCCGTTGAAAGTAGAGCAGCGTATTGATCACAGAGCGGTGCGCGGAAACCTACCCTAGTCGCGTTGCCTAGGGGTACACCCACTACTGCCTACTACGTGTGTGTACACTCTAAATGTCTCCAAATATAAACACACATTATATTAGCAAAAACAAAATTTTATTGTATACCAATATTGCCTATGTTTATTTAGAAGTTGTGGATTTCCTGTTTATCTCTTTGACTAAAATGAACATCTCCCTGATTGATTGGTTTGTGTATTAATATTATAAAGAGGTAGTTTGTGTCTTTACATGTTCGTGGTAATTCCGTGAAAATCCTGTACCGCTGATCTGATTTTGAAAATACGTTTAGTGTTGACTGTGTGAAAGATGATATGGTAAGAAAGGAAGTAAATAACGCGATGACTGCGAACAGGGATGAATGTAAACGAAAAACATATTACGCCGACCCCAAATAAATGGGATAAGGAAGAAGCAGATGATGTTTAGTGTTGAATATCTCATTATACGGGATCGCTTTAGGATAGTTAATATCGCGTTACGACCAATAGGAGCGGAGTTGCAATGAAATATGTGACAAAACGTACGTATGAGGAAAACGTCACGCAGACGAAGCTGCGCGGATCAGATAGTTTGTGATAAGTTAAAAATCGATATATTACAAGTAAACGACCAACGCTGACCTTACACAACTGTTTAGAGCATCTCTACCATGGTAGCGTATGGTGGCGCATCTGGGAGCCGAGGTATTAAGAGCGCTTAGGTCATCAACACTCCGGCGATGGCCGTCAAGGCTGGATAAACGGTTTAATGTAATACCTACATTATTTCAAAATTTAGTTTCTTAATTATACTTTCCTGTTTCCAGTATCGGGAAATCGAACAAAATAGTCATTATCGGTATTAAGAACTTCAGTAATTAGTTGACTTCAATGATATACGAATCGATAAATCGGTATGTACTGCTTATCTTGTTCTGTTATTGTAAAGATACAATTTTAACCAAGTTCAAAAAAGAGAAGATTCTTAAATTAGGAATAGTATATTTGTTATTTTACGATATCATAGACAATTTGAAAAAAATTGTTATGATTTTATTGAACCCACGATATTCCTATAGTATCCAAGTCAAGTGTACATATGGGAAAGCATTTATTACCCCTATAAGATATTATTTTCTCTAATATATTTCTATAGGTATATATATTTGCCTAGAGCACTAGGAATAAAATATTATTTAGAAAAAGAATTTGGTATATATTGTTAACATATACTGTAACAAGTTGCCTTCAAAACAATGTTGATAGCTGACGACTCAATGAAAGTTATGATGACAGATTGATGCGACATTTAAAAATGAGCCGTATACATATGGAGTGAGCTTCTTAGTTTAATGTAACGCAGTTATTCAACTACCACGGAAGATAATGATTTTTATGTATACCTTCAAAAATAGGTTGTTACTTTTATGTTATGTAGTAATTATATTTAATACTAGGTGTACCCGCGACTTCGTCCGCGTGGAATTTAGCTTTATTTTTCTAAAATTAGGCTACTTTTGCCTAAATTACACCTTATTACAACAGCTATCCTATCAAAAACGTTCCAGCCATTTCAGAGATTAGCCGGAACAGACAGACAGACAAAAATTGGTGTATGTACCGTGTTTATATTCATATGCATGTAGTAAAACGCTTATTTCAATATTACACACAGACACTCCAATTTTATTTATATGTATAGATGTTTTTCTTATTCTTTTGTCACAAAATTACGCCAACTAATTGGATTTGCGTAAATATTACTCAGCTTACAATAATTTTGCTTTGACCCTGTGTAGTCGTGTACCAACTACAATAATAATCTGCAGTGAAGTAATATTTTTCGACAATTAGTCCGGGGTAAGTTGTCTTTAAAATGTCGACATGACATTACATCATCATTTTGTATAATTAATACACATATATTCATTAATATTAATTGTAATCATAATAACATGTACAGGAAGTACTGAGCCCCTTTTTTTGTATTATGAAACCTTATGAAAGCGCACTATGATGCGCGAAACACGATGATGCCACACAAACGTAATACGAAGAATAAATATGGGACTAAAATACCAGCCTGGATATAGTGGTACTAGTAGGAACTATTGAAATAAAACATAATAATAATCTGTCTTCGTTTTTAATAAAAACTTCAACATTTCCCAACAATATAAAAAAAAAATATATAAAATTTGCCGCAGCCGAAAAACAAAACAGTTTTAATAAAAAAAAGAGTTCAACTTCTCAGACAAAAATACGCTAGGTATTTTTCAAGCTATCGTATTAGAATATATAAGACACAAAAATTCTTGAAGGCACAGGAGTATCTGTAATACTTAGTTTGGAATGTTTTTTATGGTCCCCAAAATATTTCTTTACAAACTAAATTTAAAGGATTATAGACATAGATTATATAAAATGTTAGTACCTATATATGGATGTATATGTAATATACTTATATAACATTTGAACTTAATTAGTAATATTCAGTTTTATTATTTACTTCAACATATTTCTCTCTTAATATTTATTATTATTTAGCAAGTAGAGTCTTGATTAGAGATTCAAGTTTCCTTGTGTCAGCGGCGAACTTCCTTATACCCTCCGAAAGCTTGTCTGTCGACATTTGGTCTTCATTAAGGTGCCAACGAAACTGAGCCTCACTTAGGGAAATTTTCTCGATATCACTTTCTGCAGCATTTTTCGGGTCGAGTACCTAAAAAATATTTAAAGTTAAGGTTTTATACACTTACTAAACTATTAAAACATATGCAAAAGAATACAATGGTATTGTTAAAATACCTACTGTACCTATTCTAGCAAGAAAACTTATAACACCCAACGACAAACAATAATAAATTAATAAAAGAGTTTTACGATATATAACTAGTATATTGACGTAAATAATAAACTATAATACATTGACAGCTTAGATAGCCATGGCCACGATCCCTTAATAAACAACAAACAAGCTGTTACCGCAAAAGCGCGTGGCATTAATTTTTTTATTAAAATAAATAAATTTTCAAAAATAAAATATTTATTCTTCTAAACTAAATCTTACTCAATATGGATAAATCATATTAGTCAGACCCTGAATGAATAGGATAAGAGTATTAAGGATTATGTCCAATGTGCTTTACATTGAACATAATGACTTTAGAAATGAAACTTACCCTCTTGAGTGTTGCGTTACTATTAGCCAACTCCTGCAAGAGCTTAGGGCTGATTGTAAGAAGATCGCATCCCGCCAGCTCGCGTATCTCACCAGTATTACGGAAAGACGCACCCATAACTTGTGTTTTATAACCAAACTTCTTATAGTAATTATAAACACGTGTTACAGACAGAACACCTGGGTCATCTTTGCCCTCGTATGTTTTCTTTGTATGCTCTACATACCTAAAAAATAAATAACATATCAATACAATTCATTCAACTATAAAACGATAGTAGCTATCATTGAAAATATTAGTCAATAGATCCTACGAGAACAGATTTTAAACCAGCTAGAAAAAACACATTAAGTTGATACATTTTTTTTGGCATTTTCTTTGGTATTGTATATCAGATATACTATTTCGGTATTTTTTTTAATTTAATAATATATTTACAAATTTATATGTACATTTTGTAATATTCGCTTTTTACGTAATTTTTATACGTTTTACGTTAACGTAAGGTTAACATTTTATATTATTAAATAAATATATATAATATACTCACCAATCCAATATACGTCCAACGAATGGAGAAATAAGCGTAACATTAGCTTCTGCACAAGCAATTGCTTGATACAATGAAAAAAGTAATGTCAAATTACAATGTATACCTTGCTTTTTTTCCAGCTCCCTGCAAATTACATGTCATCATTAACATATTACCACTCTTTCACTGCCAAGTCAGGAGACAGAAAATAAAACGACATTAAAGTAGAACTGCCAAACATCGTATAAAATGTCAGCTAGAAACTATGTTAGCTATTAAAAGTCAATTCTGTTATTTAATCATTAATAAAGTGACAAAAATTTTCCATTAGAGAGACCTTCACCAAAATGGTAAAACATCATATTCTTACTTAGCTGCTTGTATGCCTTCCCAGGTAGAAGCCAATTTGATCAAAATTCTGTCTTTCTTGATACCAAATTCAGCAAACATGCTGATCAGCTTAATGGCTTTTGCAATACTAGCATCCTTATCAAATGACAGTCTGAAATTAAAAATAAGTAACTAAATAAAATCATTATTTTCAATAAATAAATTAAACATTAAAATCGGTTTCATACAGTTTGGTAATACAGCATTTAAAATTTTGTTTTCATTATGACTATGATAATTTGTAGTGGTCTGGGTGTTTTCTATGCATATTATGTAGATAGTTACAAAAAATATGTATTTATATACATTTATGTCAGGTTGTCAAGTGCGCTTGGACTACGCTGTGTGAATTGTCCTGGGGTCATTATAATTATTACAAATTTTCTAAAAAAAAAATTAATTAATAATGTAACTTAAAAAGTAGTGATAGCTTTTAGAATGAGTGGTAGATTAAAAGAATGATAGCTATGGACTATTCAAAAGTGCTTAAGTTCATTTGAATAAATGATTTTGTATTCTATTCTATTCTATTGGTTAGATAGAACTGCAGGGAAATCATATCAAGGATACATACCTTGCATCAACCTCAACAGATACTCGTCCCGGTATGATTTTCAGAATTTCACAACCAAATAATACACTCAACATATCAAGGGTCTCTGCTACTTGCTCTTCTATGGTACTGAAGCAAAAAAAACCATTGTATAATCATAGATGAAATACAATTAAAAAACATTTATAGGGTCCTAAACCGAAATAAAATACAGCAGGCCCATAAGACTTTTAGACACTTGCTGTACTGTCATTTTGAAAACCTTTAAGATAGTGTTGTTGACAAATCAAAAATAAATTTAAAAATTATTTTCATTTCATGAAAATTATATCTGCTCTGATAACTATAGTCATTATATTTATTTACTTTGATAAATTTTCCTATTTGGCAGCTTGTACTCACTCAAAACCTTAAATATGTAAAGCTAAACAACATTTATTTATGAGAGCAGCAAGAACATGAACTTGCAAGACAGTATTTGGTAAAATTTGGTTTTTGGTATTGTGATAAGTTTGTTTTCAGAATTAGTTTGTTCAATAAAAAAAAAACATTACAAAACTATCCAAAAGTGCTTGTATTAAGTTTATTTGAATAAATATTATTTCTATTTCTAATAAATGAGTGTCAAACTACCTGCCAGTGTCCTTTCCATACTTGATAGCCTTGTCAACCAAATGTTGGTATTGCTCCATTGCAGCAGCTGATAGTATCAAACTGGGATTGGTAGTGGCATCTGTAGGCTTATAAGCTTTCATAGCTAAAATAATAACTCATTTTAGACTTTCCAATAAATCTTATTATAGAATATGCTATGTTTATTTTTAATAAGTATGTACAAACATTTGTGTGTATATATTTTAATGTTTGTTAGTAATGCTATATGCCCATTTCCTGCTATAGGTATTTAGGAAGCTATTAAACCCAAACTTCAAACTTGGTGTAACCAATATTGATGTCTTCTTTGTTTAAAAGTTGGTGCTTCTCACATAGCCTCCATATAAATTTGACGATGAGGTAACCAGTAATTTTTGGGTTATCTTTATTAATGGATATTTATAATTACTTATTAACATAAAATCCTTAACAATTGATGAATGTTTGTTTTCCCCAAACATACATATAATTATTTTTTGTTCATATCTGTTTTACATTAAAATGTTATATATTATTATGATTAAAATTTCAGGACATTTGACTGTGATAAATAATACTTTTCATAGCTTTTTTACTATAATAACTATAATGCACATAATAGAAAAGGTACATCTGATAGAGTTGATGCTACAGCACTGATTTTTCTTGACTATAGGTGGCCTAAAATGTTTTCTTTATATATACATTGTCTTTGAGGGGTTAATTTTTAACAGAATTAAAACAACCTACTATACTTAATCACATTAGAGAAGATAAACTAACCTTCAAAATCACCTGTATCAGCTACCACAGTGCAATATTCTTTTAAGTGGTCAAGTTCGCTCATTTTTGTACGCTTAGGTTGAGGTTCTCCACTCATATTGACTTAAATCAAAAATCTGTTAAAAAAATAGAATGTGAATACAATAAATATATAAAATATTATAAGCTTAACACATTACATGATAATATTTACTGTTCGAAGTGTTATAGTAGATTGAATGTGAATGAAGGTGACCTCTTCATATATAGGTAATAATTAGTATGTGTATTATTAATGTTGTATTATTACTTGTCTGACTTCTGGAAAAACTCAAGTTACTTTAATTGTCAACTTGAACTAAATGAATAACTAGTACATATTAAACATATCTCGGTGAAAACAAACAAATGAATTCATTCGGAAAAGCACATTCAATATGGAAAGTATCATATACGAACATTAAATAAACGTAGACAACACACAGAACACGCTCGTCGAAAACCGAATTCAAATTGGCGTGCGTGCAGACGCCAGACATGCGTTCTGCACCTTTTGACAAGTATTTGACAATGACAGTTTTTTTTCTTCTTGAGGTATATAACAGATATTTTGTCTGTGAAAAAGACTATATACCTATACTCTATGACTAAATCAGTGTTCTGTCTTGTCTTTTAAATTAAAGACGATTCTTAGCACATATCGATGACAATTTTCATTCGAGTCAAATCAATTTTCAAGAAAAAGTCTGTCAAAAATATTGATCAAAAATTATTCGTTTATCCTAAAATAATTATACACAGTTTATTTGGTATACAATGTTATTGAATAACTTATCAGCGCTTAATATATTAATTCTGGCATATAGCGTAATATTAGTATTTAAATTATTTTATAATTTCCACATTATACCTTTAAATTTGGTGTTTTCATTTTTTCAGCCATAAAACCTTTAATTGAATGATCACCAAATAATGGTAAGAACTAAATTAATCGATTCCAATAAGAATAATCAAAATCGGTGCAACATTTAAGAAACAAGTAACAATATGTAAAATGTAGGTATTATTTTATTTTATCTGCCAAATATCTAATATAATTTATAAGACTTACAAAAATTTACATAAAAATATTCTGTTTAAGCGATCTATCATTTAAAACAATAATTAATGACACATTTTTTTTGTTTAATCGAGATCGGAATCACTTGACTGTTTCGTCTGACATATGACGACACTACTGTTCTAGAAAATTCGTGTACGAGTGAATACGAACACTACGAATGGGGAAGTGCGATTACCCGGCGTTCATTCTCGAATCTCGATTGATATTGAAGAAGTGATTGTCAGGCTAAAGCAACGTGTTATTATCCTGTGATTCTTGTGGAAAAAATTAAAGATCATTAAGTTTAGAGTTGAATTAATTGAAAATTATACATCATAATGGCTGCTATGTCCGTCATTGGTATTGATTTCGGTAACGAATCCTGTTATATTGCTGTTGCAAAAGCAGGTGGTATCGAGACAATAGCTAATGACTACAGTCTTCGGGGTACTCCGTGAGTAAAATTACAAAATATTTTAGTTCAGTTTACTATTCTCTGAACATACATTCTAAGTTCTGATGTTTTTATGGTTTAACACTGTTTTTGTGTGTTATGATTCACATGGAAAAATCCTAAAAAAGTTACCTATTCATTTATTGAATTTTATAAGTATTGTACAAATACGAACTATTTTTACCGAGCTGCTGTTAATTGCTGTTATAGCAATTAAATGTTATTCCTTTACTATTTACACTTACTCATAATAAGAAGTTAAAGTGTAAACTAACCTAAATATTGAATTTTACATCTAATTCCAGATCATGTGTCGCCTTCTCGCCAAAGAATCGCATATTAGGAGTAGCTGCAAAAAATCAAATGGTTACAAATATGAAGAATACTGTATTTGGATTCAAGAGACTTCTAGGAAGAAAGTTTTCTGATCCCTTTGTTCAGAAAGAGTTAAAACATTTCCCATTTAAAGTAGAACAACGTTCAGATGGTGGAATTGGCATTAGAATAAATTACCTTGGTGAAGATAATGTTTTCAGCCCAGAACAGGTTTGTCATTAATTTGTCACATCAACTCGAGAACCAATTATGTATTTTAGTGGTTAGGGATTATTACATTGTTGAATGTGTAATTTCATTAATATTCTGAAGATTTCAGAATTAAAGTAATGTTTGAACACATAAATTAACATCCCTAAGGCATTGTGAAGAAATATGTATAGTAATTATAGTCTGTTTTTTAATCCCAGAGACTAAATTGACAGGTGTAAATGTCAAATTGTCAAATAATTTTATCGTCTACAGTGCGGTAGTGTATACAAATTGGTGTTGCAGGTACACATTTGCAATACTGATTTGTTTAATCAGAACTTCACTTTTATTTTAACCTTGTTTTAAAGCTTTAAATGATTTTTCCATAACAGATGTTTAAAATTTATGTGCATATACTAGTGTTTCCATTACTGTTGTTGTATTATACAGCTTAACAATACATTTTTGATGTTTCCCTACAAATAATAATTTTTAAAGCATTCACCTACAAATCAATCTATTTAAAAAAAATTGTCTCTGTGATTAAAAAACAGACTGGACATTAATTTATAATGACACTAATAGTGCATGGACTGTCACTTAAATACGTAAATTGTTTTATCTATTCTCATACACTTGATAATCATTATTATTTCACACTACCATACTTTAATAAGTTTGGTAGTGTGAAATAATGTTCTAGTAATGTACAAATTTCAAGTGGGAATGCATCTATGTTTGGAATGGAATGGAATCATATATGTTGAACATCTTATCTGTTAAGTGTAGTTTAGATTTTATAATGAACATGTTACTATATTTTTTTGGTTCATTTCATCAATAGCCATGTGTAGAGCTGTTATAACCACATTGATAGTGGTTAATGATTTTACATTTTTTGCTGTTATAAATAGTTATATAATACTGTACTACAGTGTATTGACTTAGCGGTGTAGTGATCATTTTTAATATGGGCATTACCATTAATTTTTTATTTATATTTCTGATTTTTTTTAATAAACTTATAATTTTGGAAAAAGAGTACTGACAACAAGCCTATTCTAAATGTTATTAATTGTTATTTTTCATTTATATTTCTGGGAATAGAAACACTTACATAGTTGTAATATAGCAGGTGGTAGTAGGTTTTTACATTTGTTTTTTTTTTATTTTAAATAACAGCATAATTCCTATTTGGATGTCATGTTTTTTTGCATCATCTTAGGTGTTTTCTTTTTGAAATTGTCTCAAATTATGGTAGTTAATGTATTTAACAGAGAAATAATATATCATTTATAATATAAGCCACTTAGTTCTTATATATAATATAGCTTAGGATTTAACTTTAACCTGTAAGAAATGGAAATAGTGGTTACATACAAAAACTGTGTTTTATTTATCATATCTTGAATAAAATATGCAGTTAAGAATTAAATGTTATATACTGATTTCTAATGAAATAATGCTTTTATATAACAATGAATATTTTGTACAACAATTTACAGCCTGTGGTATTGATAATGCAATTTCTTATAGGTCAAGTAATTTCTAAATCAAAATATTGTTTTTAATTATTCTTTACAAATTTATTAAAATCCTTATTTTATTTTATCCATATTTATTATATACCATATACACTCATTACACATTAAGATAAAAATAGGAAACTGTCTCAATTATGTGTTTCTAAATTTTTTATTTTGTCTATAATATTGTTTTTTCTTAGTTTCATTAATACTTTGAGAGGGAATTGACCTTGAATTTATTGATATCTACACTTGTTTAAGATATCTGTTTACATTGTACATTAACAGAACTAGGTTGGACCAGTATTTTGATATGTATTTCATTATATAATTATATTGTATTATTATCTAGATAACTGCAATGCTGTTTACAAAATTGAAGGATATTGCCACCACAGCATTGCAAACTCAAATTAATGACTGTGTCATATCGGTACCTAGCTACTTTACCAATGCTGAAAGAAATGCCCTCTTGGATGCTGCTGCTATTTCAGGTATGTTACTAAATATTAATATGTAAATTTTTCATTCCCATTACCAAAGGTATACATGGATAACAATTTCAATAATAATAATATAGGAGAATTAATGTTAATACTGATTAGTAATAAATACTATATTCATATATATATTATCATATACATATTATTTTTAACTAAAATATAGATTTTTACAATAAGTCTCTAATTTCAGTCTGCCTTTGTTTGTCATAGGCCTCCTCCAGGGAATTCCATTGATTTCCATCATATGCAACTTGTCTCTTTTGTTTGCCCACTGTCGACTTCAACTCATCTTTCCATTTCATTAACTGCATGCCCCTCTTTCTTTTTACGTCTCTAGGATACCATTCTGTTATTGTTCTACTCCATTTTGCCCTTTTGTCATGCTTCATGTGGCTAGACCATCACCACTTCTGCTGGTCTATTTGACAGTATGTCTGTCAATTTTGACCTCTATACATCCTGTGTTCATACACTATATTAAACACTTTTTATTAAGAATGAATATTAACTTAAAATTTTATAACAGTAATAATGCAACCTTGTAACAGTATTTTTGTTTTATTTTTACCATTGGAATAATATTTTATATGCCATGAGAACCCTAATATGTAGATAGATTATTCAAACACGTTATTTACACGTTACATTTTAGGACTCAATGTGCTACGTCTTATGAATGAAACTACTGCTACTGCCCTCTCATACGGTATATATAAACAAGATTTACCAACTCCTGAGGAGAAACCGAGAAATGTAGTGTTTGTCGACTTTGGTCATAGCTCCCTACAGGTAATGATTATTTTCTAAGATACTATTATTTCTTCTTTGTATAATATTATAACTGTACGCAATCATTGAGGCTAATGTATAATGTTTAGGTTTCAGCATGTGCCTTCAATAAGGGTAAATTGCGTGTGTTGGCTACTGCATCAGATCCTCAGTGCGGTGGACGCGATATAGACATGGGCATGGCTGAATATTTCGCTCAAGATTTTCTTACGCGATTTAAATTGGATGCCAGGAAAAACCAAAGGTATTTTATACAAATTACATTTTATAAACAATCTATATATAACTTTTTATTGTAGTTTTAGCACTTTTTTTTATTAATCAATTATACTGTACTAAGTTGTGGGTAGTAATGTGTATTAGAAAAATGTGAAAACTGAACAAATATGTCTAAACGCCCATAAATTAAGTACATATGATGAAATTTCTTTACAGAGCTTATCTTCGACTTATGCAGGAAGTTGAAAAACTGAAAAAACAGATGTCAGCTAATAGCACTCGATTACCACTGAATATTGAGTGTTTCATGGAAGAACGGGACGTTTCTGGAGATATGCAACGTGCACAAATGGAACAAATTAGTGCTGAAACTTTCACGCGTGCTGAAAGAACAATGCGGGCTCTACTCCACAATGCAAGTAAGTCTCAATGTCAATTTTCTTTCTCTATTCCATAGATTATATTTTTTAATCAACTGTAAATGAGTGAGTGAAATACAAATTTTGTATTAAATTATGATAATTATATTAAATATTTTGTAAATTTTATGTTTATCCAAGTTACCTCTTATCAAAGTTTTGTTGGGTTACTTTCAGAATTGAGACCGGAAGACATCTACTCGGTGGAGATTGTTGGTGGTTCTACTAGAATACCTGCTGTGAAAGGTCTGATTGAGCAAGTATTTGGAAAACAAGCATCAACCACCCTAAACCAGGTATATTTTCATTTTAATGCATTTTATAAGTAGTCAATTATTAATGAGTTTACTTTTAAACTAACACATCCTAGCATAAAAGTGTTAACTTAAACTTAAATGTAAACTTTATTTCTTATAATAGATTCAGGCGAATAGATATTATTTGTATAAAGGGCATTTGAAAATAAAACCATGTATAGACCAAAAAGTCCTATCTTAGTCTCAACAATTTCAGCCACTAAACAGCTTGTTGTGTTTTGGTCAGATTTGGTATGTAGTAAAATTACATGATAAGGCATGATATCTTAGCCCTCTAGAATAGTAATGCGTGAGTGGTATTACGGTATCCATGATCTATTTATGTATAGAGACAATGTTTAAAAATTGGTAACAAATATCGCATTTGCTTAAATAGGATGAGGCGGTGTCGCGCGGGTGCGCGTTGCAATGCGCTATGCTATCACCGGCGGTTCGCGTGCGTGAATTCTCCGTAACTGACGCACAACCCTACGCTGTTCGTCTCGCCTGGGATGCTGCGCGTGGAGAAGACACCGACATGGAGGTTGGTAGCACATCCTCACCTCTATCACCCCCATTAAACCCCACCACAATTATAGTACATTATCCAACGAGCACATCCTTGTTACAAATCATAGTTCTAAGACCCGTTTCTGTCATTAATTCCTGTGGTAATTTTGTTTTTTTTTTTCAATTTCAAAGTTAACTGTTTGAAAGTGAACTTAAAATTAGGCTAAGACTGGCCATGAATTAATTTATACAAGTTCTGTCCATAATTATTTCATTTTTATTATTTACATAATCAGGCCACAAAAACGAAAATTGATGTTATAATAATATACACAATTCTTCGATATGTTGTTAGATAGTATAACAATTATTTGTAATCATTATAGGTGTTCCCTGCTTTCCATCCTGCACCATTCTCGAAAATGTTAACATTCTACAGAAAAGAACCATTCACAGTGAGTGCTTATTACTCGGATCAAGTGCCCTTCCCGGATTCTTTCATTGGTATGTATAACATAGATATTATCTGACTAATTTCAAAAATATTAATTACAATTGCTAAATATTATTGCATAAAATTTTCAAATTGATTACTTGTATGTACATAGGATATTAAAATTTAAACTTGCAGTTCCATGGCAGCTCTTATTATAAATATTAGTATTATAGAAATAGAACAGAATAAAAGTTATGTAAGGTGGATAAAGCAGCAGTGGCGTGTAAAGATAGAGATGACGATGTACGAGGTTCTAAGGTTGAGCTTATAAAGGAAATAAAAAATTATTTATTCATGTAGGATATTTTAGTCGCAATAGTATATTTTTTTATATTACTATTTTCCCTACTGTCCTGTTCATTATATAGATTCAATTGAGAATAACTAACAAGAAACTCAACTGAATTTCTTTTTTTCTTTAATTAAAGTGTTTGCTTATATGTGTCTATGTCTAACATTAAATGAAAATTCCCTGCATGAACAACTATAGCCATGCACATTTGTCATACATTACATAAGTAATCGTTTAGTGAGTAATAATAGGCTTTGTTCAATAAATATTATTTAACAGATGTTGTATCCTTATATACATACCTTCAGACACTGTGACACAATTGCAAAAGCAGTCTTTAATTTATAAACTGTTTTGAACAATATTACTTGTTAAATACAGCAAGCGGTAGTAATTTTAATGTCAGATGTATCTTATTTTTGGGTGGCACAGAACATATCTAGCCCTAATTATTCATATAAATACAATACTACTCTAAAACTTAATTCCATTCTGATGACATTAAATTGCGCCGTTTTGCGTCTTTTAACATAACACTAGTAATGTATTAATTCCAAATATTAATAGTGTATGATACTAATTGAGATTGTTGTGTGTACTCTAAAATATTGGTCAGAAAAAACAAACAACAAACAAAACTGATGATATAATTAATATTTCCATTTGTTTTATTATTACATATATGCGTAAAACAAAGTATAACGTCATTTATTCGATGCGGTTTTGAGTTGATAACCTTTAGACAAATGCAATAATAATTCAATGCATTATTATTAACTATAAAAGTATAACTTTTAGGGCAGTGGCATATCAAGGATGTTCAACCAACATCAGAGGGCGAATCACAAAAAGTCAAACTTAAAGTGCGTGTGAATATTCATGGGATAATAACTGTCGCATCAGCCTCGTTGGTTGAAAAGAAGCAAGATGCATCCCAACCTGAGAATATTGAGATGGAGAATGCTAACGAGAACGCGCAAAACAATCAGGAGGCCCCCATGGAAACTAATGGCAGTCCTCAAGAGCAGCAACAAAACGGACCCGAGTCCCAAGAGGTGAGAGAAGATGAAATGAAGGGAGAGCCGCAACAAAAACAGTCGTGGACACAGAAAGTAGGCCAGTGGTTCAGCGGGGTACGTGTCGGTAGCGCGATCGTCGATTGATTAGTGATGTTTGCTGCCACCATCTTCGCCCCTATGTCCATTATGTCGTATTATTTGTTTTTGACGTATTGTTTATTGGTCAATATTTTATTATTAGGCAATACAGGCAGCAGGCACCACAGTTCTTTGATCTTCCCCATCCTCTTATGAGGCCCCATTTGCACACGTTTATTTCAAGGCGAATTATACTCTCGCATATCCGTTTATATTAACATTTGAAATGAGATTTATTTACAGTTTTGTCTCTGTGTCCACGCATGTTTTTGTTAATCCTACGTTGTTTCTTCATGTTTTCTTTATTTCGTCTAAATGCTTATTAATTAATAGCTTGGTGGTATGGTTTTATTTTATTTGCAAATTATGTTCGTGATGTTGGTGCAAATGGGTCATGGCACTGCTTGAGAATGTACTCAACAATGACTGTAATGCATGTTGGTGGAACTAATTATATTTTCCAAGCAGACTGCTGTGGTGGGGAAGAGGCATTCTTTTAACTATGTGAACTCTATTTGCTTTAATTTTATAGGATAATGCTGATGATAAAAAGGACAAATCAAAAGAAAAGGCAAAGAAAGTTCTTGTGAAAACAATTGAATTGCCAATTGATGCTAGAACTCATGGATTCTCCCAGCAGGAGCTCAATACGTACATGGAACAAGAGGTACTACTACCTACTTACTAGTATTTGATGCTAATTTATCAACAAGTAATCACAAAAATATCCTGTATAATAATTACATTGTAAATTATTTTCACTTACAATAACATCGTTAAAAATCTTATGTAGATGGTAAAATACAAATTGAACATACAAGATTACTTGTTTTTTGAGATATGATTACCTTATATAATTTTAATAATTAATTATATAATTTGTTACTTGTTAGAAATAATGCATCATGAAGAATAATCACTACTTTAAGTAGTTTATAGATTTACATATATTTAAAAGATTTGCACTGATAGTGTTTATATTAACTCTTTAATCTTTTGTAATTATTTCTAATAGGAGTATATCAGATATGGCATTTATTCTATTGTACTTGATATATGTACTTGCATGTTTTAAGGGCAAAATGCAAGCTCAAGATAGACAAGAAAAGGAGCGCGCTGATGCGCGAAATGCTCTAGAAGAGTATGTGTATGAATTGCGTGGCAAACTCTCTGAGGGCGATTCTCTACATGATTTTGTTGCTGAGGACCAACGCAATCGACTTGTCAATGAACTGGACGCTTTGGAATCGTGGCTTTACGATGAGGGTGAAGATCAGAATAGACAGGTAATACATGCATTTTTGCATACCCAAATACTTTATAAAATTAATTGTATATTCACTTTATTATTTGTCTTGCTGTGGTATCTGAATTTTTTTAATTGATACAATTATTTTCTCAATTTATTAACATTTATGTCATATGTGTTAGGAAAAAAAGAATTTTAGTTGTTACATACTATAATTGATTCCAGCCTAAATCTAAAGTATAAGTGTAATGGTTTAAAAATACAACCTTTTTATTTGCCATATAAATAAACTATTTACCTACTACGATAGAATTTTAAGATTTTTAATCATTTAATTCTGCCATCTAAAGGTATACAGTGACAAGTTGACAGAATTAAAAACGGAAGGTGAACCCATAAAACAACGGAGATTAGAATTTGAGCTTCGCCCTGGAGCTCTAGATGATTTTGCATTAGCTATTCAGTTAGCTAACAAAGCTATTGATTTATACAAGTAAGTCCTATTCTATTATACAAACTACTTATATATGTAAACCTATACAAAACCGACTCTGAAAATAGAATATATTATACAAAATTCTGCTTCAATTTCTAAGCAACGAGGTCATGAGAGTAGTATATCCATAATTACTGTTTTTATTTTATATTTGAAAGAAATCTTTTTATTGTTCCCCTTATCTCTATGTTTATGAATGTTTTCTATGTTCTTTTTCAAATATTATTAATTGGTTCTCAAATTTTAGAGGTGGAGATGCAAAATATTCTCATTTATCTGAAGCTGATATACAGAAAGTTGTGGATGCTTCTAAGAGCGCGCTGAACTGGCTCGAAAGCGCACGCCAAACCCTTGCTCACACGCCGCGTTACCAGGCGCCAACTCACACTACACATCAAATTCGTCAAGAACGACAGGTATTATCTACGATAATTATATATATTATTCCATTTCTAATATTAAAAATATTTATAGCTATACGCATGCATCTCTCTGCTAACTACGTCAAACATGTAACTATTAATCTATTTTGGCTATTCAACTGTTTCGTCCTACTAACTATTTCATTCATATGATGAAGAGTGATAAAACACTGACAGTTACTGCAGAATTATATGAAGTTTACTTGTAAATCAAATTGTTTCTGGCCTACGGCTTGTTGTATCTTGCTAATCGGAAATATATTTTTTTATTCTAAATTTCTATTTAATTTTATAGTTCATTTATTGTAAATTCTTTTATACTTCATTCCAAGTCTTTTTATATAGTTTTCCATTTACCTATTTACACGTATAAAATAAAACTACAACACAGCGGATTCCGCAAGCACAGTCAATAATTATCATAATTTGCTCTTCTATCTAAATTAAGTTCACAAAACAATTTGTATTTCAGAACTTTGAGAACATAGTAAATCCTATCCTGAATAAACCGAAACCTAAAGAAAAAACGCCTCCACCTACCAACCCGACGGGGGGTGACGGGCAGCCGGCCGCCGCCAGTGAATCGCAGCCCAGCGAAATGGACGTCGAGTAAACGTCCTCCACAACCGCCGCCTCTCGTCACTTTGTACCATAATACTAAATAATTACTATAGTTTGACTTTTAATTCAATGTAGTAACACGATTTAATATGTAGTGTACAATTACTTCGTATGCTCATATTACGTTTTGTACTTTTATTACATTCAATTAAAAGTCGCACATTTAGACGCAATCAATTTTCACAAACTGATGTCACTGCACATTGTCACTGAAATGTTTATGCCATTTAATGTGTTGAATTTAAATTAATCTGTGTTCTGTGTGCTGTTAACTCACTATGTGATTGTGCTGGTGTGGGATGCGTTATTATTTAGTTTTATGTGTGTACCGAGTAGGTTCATTTCAGTATGAGTGGTGGGCTAAATGATAGTTAATATTTATTTTTAATTCAAACGACAGTATAGCTGAATATGGTTTCTGTTAATAAGATTAAGGTTTATAGAGTATACCTTAATCCTATGTTACTTATCACCTCTGTTATTGAAGTTTCAATAATGACTCACTTAATTAGATCATTAATGGAATAATAAACACGCATTTCTAATTTGACACTGAAAAGTATTAACATATTTTTGTTATTTTTTATATACCTGGTGCATTTTCTGCTTTTTGCAGATTCCCTATTATGTGATATAATAAAAATGAATTAATTTAGTCACGAATAATAAATTTAGCAAATAAAATACTTTTACTTTCAAAATATTACTCACTAGTGCTGTTTTCTTACAATTCGTTAGGATTGTTTTGTATTGATTGATTTATAATATCTACTTACTCTTTAATGTTTGGATGCAATATATCATGCTATATAACAGAATCGAACGAATACGTAGGAATAAACACTACTCGAAGTCTGGTACTGAGCACATCATTGATTGAGTGCAGAACAAATATATATATGTACGTATTTCTAAAATGATTCGAGAAACCAATATTTTATTTTTTATAATCAGTAACATGATAAATTGTGAATTGCTCGATACATCTATATTTCAGTTGTATCAAATATACAATGATACCATTCCAAAAAACGTATTCACATTTCGCATTGCGTGTGTGCAATGATTTTAATCTGTTATTTTGTGTTATGACATCAATATTATTATTATGAAATGTATAATTACAACAAATTGATTTAGAGTATCACGTGATTCGCTTGACCGAGTCCGATGTGTATGTACCAGTTTTTAAGTTGGACTAATACTTGTTAACTAAACAATTCGTTTTACCATTTCTTCGTGAAGATTAAACAAACAGATAATCATAAATTTTAGAGATATCGGATTAGGATACCGTTGCTTATTTATTAGACATTATTTAAATATTCAATGTTCAGCTCAGGTAGGCCAAGATATTTTTTCTTCTGGCCTATAAGTCAGATATTCCTTGGCCGGGTGGATACAATTTTTATAAGGGGGGAGTAAATAATAGGATCTGTCTTATATATATGTATATCACAACAGCAGATGTTAAAATATTTAATTTATATACAATAGCGCAATAACGTCTCTAATATTATATTAAAAATATAGAATTGAACTAGTCAGTGCATTTGTCACGGTCGAGTCAAGTTCACGTTGATCACATGTATGTTACAAATTGCTTAAAATTGTATTCAAATTAAGCTTCATAAACTATTTAGTGGTGATTAAAACTCAAAAGATAATTCATTGCGAGGAAATTTTAAATCGGACATATTTACAATTGGTCATATAAGTTATAGTGTACACATGTACGTAAATGTACATTTTGAAGGGGTAGATTTATTTTTGTTTCAAAAAGTACCTATAATTTTCACTTCATAGTGACATGAAGCAAATCCATGAAATATTATTTCACAGCTGTTTCTTTTTGGCCTCTGTTGTATATTTCAAGATATGGTTCAACCAATGCTATGTTTGTGCATTTTTAATGTTAAAAGCTTAGTAAAACGAATTATTTAACAACAAGTATATTATTTTTCCCCCTTCACAAATTCTAAATCGCTACCATCCACGATACCGTCAGTTTCCTTATCGTATTATCTTCACTCAGTGATAATGTATTGGTTACATCAAATTGATCTCATATAAATCTAAACGCTGAAACCGTCTAGATATTAAAATGAAAGGGACTGTTAACACGTTCCTAATCTCAACAATAATAAGAGACATAGACGTAAGAGAGGTTCGGAAAAGAAGCGCGTCTTCCCGAATACAGGAAATTTATATTTTTAACCCAAAGTTTTGGAAAGCAAGTCAAAATCTCATGATAAATAGTTACTGTTGGCTATAGGCGCTTGAAGTAACAGGGGTTTCATGTGTGGGTCATCGTTTTCAAATCATCCAAATACGCATTAAAATAGAAGTACAAAATTTCATCTTAATCGGTCCAGCCATTAATAATATAATAACCCCGGACAATCAACGCAGCCCGTTAGCAGAGTTTGTATTACAAGCAGGTACTAGACAACTGATATATATTTTAAATACATAATATACACAGAAAACAGACCGATAGAAACAATGTAAATGTTGCACCGTGCGTGTTATTAAACCCGCGACCACCGGAAGTAAGGCGATATTCTAAATCACTAGACCACCAGAGCCGTCAATAATATGAATATATTATATTTTTTTTAAAAACGTAATTACTATCAGACCACCACGGTAAGTATACTGCACTGTGCACTGTAGCATGGCTGGGGTGACAGTTACTAATTTTACATTTCACAATTGCTACATTTAAGTTAATACAATTATTAATGATTTAATATACATATTAAGAATGTGGTACAGCTGAAATACTAAGTAATAATTTGTAAATCGCAGCAACTTTTAGGAGTGAAACGAAACTGTCACTAGCACCATGCGACAGCGGACATGGTATAAGGTATTTTGATTCTGTATGGTACATTCATAAATGCCTATTGTAGCTATATTTCAATGCTTGCGTCAACTAATTTATAACTAACTACATAAATAAATTCGAAGTATAACGGTTTACCAACTTTGATCCGTGAAAGGCAATGAGATAAATTCTGACAGACGCTGAAAACTCATTCTTATATTTCTAACTCTCCGTTTATGTAAACGCCGATAACAAGCTAAATTTATTGAAAAAAGCGTAAGCACCTATCACGTTGGAATCTAATATACCTAACGAAATGTCGGTGAAAACTTGATATCGGTGAATGCTGTCTGTAGAGTCCGAGGAACTGAGTGGAAGTTCATTTCCTATTGGACTTATTGTATTGTATTATCTGCTACATTATTTCAATTATTAGTATATAACTTTTCTAAGCACTGTAAATTAAATAGTTAAATTACTAATAATTTAATTTAATTATTAATAAAACCTCCTAATAATTTATAGACTTAGCATTTTGTGGACTTGGCATTTGGATCAACCTCATTAATATAATCTCTTGGGTTCTTCCGTGTTGATGCATAATGGGCTTCTTCGACTGATTTGTAAATTATGTAACCAAATATAAACGCTGTAAAAAGAAAAAGAACTATGTGTATAATATGAAAACTACCTTTTCGATCTAGAAACGTAGAAAGCCCTTTCTTTTTTATAATATGAATTCGAATTTAACCGACATTAATAAACTATAATACTAACAGTGTTTTCCATAACTGAAAATGGATTTTTACAAATTACCAAATTACCTAACCACATCCTGCATGACAAATATCGCAACTACAAGTCTGCCGCACCTTACCTACATTATAGTCATGAGTCGCTAGTCCACATTAAAAATCCTTACCCTCAGTAATAAGGCTGTCCTATTATAAAATAGCCATGCCGATTTACGTAATAATATCTATATATTATTACGATTTACGTATATATATATTATAAATCGGATAATAGGACAGCCTTATTACTGAGGGTAAGGATTTTTAATGTGGACTAGCGACCTTATTCGTACCAAACTATACCCTTCTGAACACCATTGTTATTTTATTTCTATTGCATTGGCCACTATGAGGGCTGTCTTAAATCCATATATGCATATAAAAATAAATATATTAGATAAAAATGTATCACGTACGTGGTAACCAATACTTCATAGTTGCTGTACTTCTTGGCAGAATATTGGGAATGCCGTATGCTATAACACCAGCAAATGGCTTCTGTTCATGTTGCGATATTTTGTAATAAACTATACCACGAATAAATGCTAATTCTCCAAAATGTTTACCCATTTTAATAACTAACAAATTTTGTATTAAATAATAATTATTTAGAGGTAGAGAGGTATATATCCTTTCCCTTAAAAGTTTAAAAATCAGAAACCTTTATAATGAACACCTATGACAGATTACTAGTTACCTTCTAACTTAAATAAGGTAAAAGTCATTTTAGTTTATTGAAAAATCACCATACAGGTATAATAATAATAATAAAGCTGAGAAAAAATAAAGAATAACAATAATAATAATAATAGTATGTTGCCATCTCCTCTCCTTAAGAGGGGAGATGAGAATTTTTGGATAAAAATAGTAATAATAATAATATTTTACATATTTTATGTATACAATTAATATATAAATAATTATGTATACATATAATTTATATATACAATTAATATGATTAGGTACTTTCCACCAGCATAACAACTCCTATACCTATAAATGCTATTTATATAGGGGTTGTTCAATAATAGTTTGAAAGCGTCAGGGTCTTGTCGTTAACCATTCACCTTGACCCAAAGGTCTTAAGATCGCATTTAGCCCATAACCTTTTTGGAGTACAGTGGACCCGCGGTAATCCGGGCCCCCTTGTAATCCGACATTGTCTAAATAATTCCGGACTATAAGCAGAGGACCCTTAAGCAGCACTCTATAATCCGACAAATACGATGGTCCGACACTGCCCTGCAAAACGTTTGTCGGATAACCGGGGGTCCACTGTATATGTATATAATATAAAGAATCATCATTTGATCTATAATTTGTCGGATTACAAGGTACTCTTTTGTAAAAAAAATTCGGACTATAAGGGGTCTTAGGCAGTACTGTATAATCCGACAAATTCGATAGTCCGACACTGCCCTGCAAAATGATTGTCGGACTACCGGGGGTCCACTGTATTGTTTTTTACTTATACGGTATGAGACATATTGACATACAAATAGTTTTGGTATGAGTCCTACCAAAATTACACTGAATTACGTTCTCCACTACATCGACAGTTGATAATGCCTCTGAACAATGCAATATAAAATACCAATCGTAAAGGTATGTTATTATGAATATTACATTATTATTCTTCATATATAGTTTTTTGTTGATCCCATATTTAAATCCAATTTCTGATATACTTTATCAGAAATTGGATTTAAATATGGGATATTTCCCTAATGGTCAATTAGCTTCTGTGATTACTTCTTTATATTTTGATTTGTCAAGTTTGTCATATGTCATTTCATACTGTAATTCTGACATTCATAATGTCATAGTCATCTCTTTTTTTTTTTTTTTTTTTTATTAATATTTTACGGCCTGGTCTCCTTTCAGCCAAACAATTACATTTAACTATATCTTTAGCATTATAATCTATATCGTTCTTATTGTATTGTGTATAAACTCGTATAAAAATGGATAACTTTCTGTATTTTGTAGGATAGATGGCAAGAGGCGGGGTACTTCTTTTTTATTATATAAACTTATTAAGCCATCTATCAAAATAAGTCTCTGCAAACCAAATGCTGGACATTCCATTATAATATGTTGTAGATCGGCATTTTCTGCTGTACAGTAGTCACAATTTGAAGAAGATCTCAATTTTATTCTATGCAAATGAGCGGATTGTCCCATACGAATTCTATTAATCGTTGTAATGTATCTTCTAGATGGTTCTTGTAATTTGAAATACCATGGTTTTCCAAAAATTTCTTTCTGTATATCAGCATACCATTTTCCTTTTATCATTTTGGTTTCTGCCCATTTTCTATTCCAATTACTAAACATCCTTCTGTTAATTAATGCATTGTAGTCAGTTATTGGCACTGGCGATACCAAATGACAATCCAGTTCATTAATCTTCATCATTCTGTCTACAACTTCATTTCCAGTAATACCAGCATGAGATGGAACCCACATGAACTCTATAACTTTGTACAATTTCATGTCATATAAAATTTCTCTTATTAAGTAAATGTATAAATTATCTTTGTAATTTTATAATTATCTAAGGATGTCAATACACTTAGAGAATCCGTTATTATTAGAAATCGTCTTGAATTTTCTATGTCTTGTACATATTTCAAAGCTTTAAAAATTGCATATGCTTCCGCAGTGAAAACCGATGAATGTTGATCTAGTACATAGCATTGTCCAGTTTTAGTAAAGGAGTCAAAATATGCCGCTTTAGTAGAGTCTTCAGATTTCGATCCATCAGTAAATATTTTTCTGTAATCAGGTTTATATGTTTGGGTGTATATTATAAATTCATTATTATCCATCACTCTCTCCTGTACTATTGTAGGTTTTGTAGTTTGAACATCCAGTGAGCCGTAAGACCATTTATCACATTGATACATATTAACAAATTCATTTAATAGTTCATTATCAATTTGTATAATTTTATTATTTTTTAATATATTACTCAGTGTATTATTTGCAAAAATTTTTAAATAATATTTTTCCATCAAATAATTAAGTCTTACATGAATTGGAGGAATGCCAGATTCAATTTCTAAAGAATTAATAGGAGTCGAACACATTGCTCCTGTTATGATTCTAAGACCCTTATTTTGTACTACCTCTATTTTTCTTAATTGAGTATAGTTTATGCAATTTCCATAAATAAACAGACCATAATCATAATGACTTCTAACAATGGACTTATACAACATATTTAGTAACTTGGGATCCATACCCCAACTAACACCAGCTAAGTATCTCAAAATATTGACACTTTTATCCATTTTATTCAATATTTTTGTAACATGAGATGAAAATGACATTTTGCTATCAAAAACTAATCCTAAAAATGTTTTTTCATTGACTATATTTATGTTTACATTGTTTATATAATTAATATTTAGATTGTACAAAGAATTACATCTATTAAAGACCATAACTGAACTTTTATAGGGATTAATATCCAGTTTCAATTTAGTTTTATAATATTTGTACAGTTCTCTAAGTCTTAGATTTAGGTCAATTTGTATTTGTAAAATATTTTCTCTAGAAGAATACATAACAATATCATCTGCATATTGCAATATATTTACATTTTTCAAATTTACAAATCGGTGAATTTCCGCAGTATATAGTAAATATATGAGGGGAGACAATGTAGAGCCTTGCATTACACCTTTAAATGCTAATTTCGGACCATAAAGCTTATTATTATATCGAACAAAAACTGTTCTTCCATAAAATAATTTAAATAACCATTCTGTAAATTTACCTGGTATGTTGTATGAATTAAGAATTTGAACGAGAGTTGATAGATCTACATTGTCAAATGCTCCTTGTACATCTAAAAAAACACTAATAAGAGGTAAGTTACATAGCATAGCATTTTTAATATCACCTGTAAATTTTAGAAGACTATCTATTGCACTTTTTCCTTTACAAAAACCATATTGTAATGGAGGTATAATATTTCTAGTTTCTGCGTACATTTCTAATCTATTTTTAACCATATTTTCAAAAATCTTTCCCATACAAGATGACAAAGCAATCGGTCTGTATGATTCAGCTAAAGACGGATCTTTTTCAGGTTTTAAAACAGGTATAATTGCTAGAGTTTTCCAAGAGTCGGGTATTAAATTATGTTCCCACAAATTGTTATATATTTCAAGTAATTTCATTTTACAATTAACATGAAGATTTTTAATAAGTAAATATGGTATGTCATCAAGTCCCGGAGTAGTATCTTTTCTATTGTTCAAAGCAAGAATAAACTCTTCAAAGGTAAATGGTTTTATTAAATGTGTGTTTAAATCATTCATTTTAAAATATCCATTTATATTTTCAACGTTTTCAGTTTCTTTATTAGTGGCAACTTTATTTAAAAAATCATTTACCCAAGAATCATCACCTACTACATTTTTCCGTCTTATACGATTAAATCTTTTAACAAAATTCCAAATTTTTCCTATATTGGTATGTCTATTAAAACTGGAACATAATTCAATCCAACTACTTCTTTTTTGTTCTTTAATAATTAGTTTCTTTTCTGCATCAATTTTTTTGTATACAATATAATTTTCTATTGATATATAATTATACAAAGCAAATCTACTTCTATTTACAGCTTCGATGCATTTTTGATTCCACCAGGGTACAGGTATATGACTTTTAACACAATTCGACTTAGGTTTAATAACTGGTATATATTCAACTTTTAAATTATTAATTATTGTGCAAAATTGTTCGTATGCTAATATAGGATTTGTTATTGAACTAAAATTATTTAGACATTTATAAGATGAATCTGAATAAGAGCTCCAGTCTACTTTTTTATATATAAACCTTTCTGGTTGTTCCACATATTCATAAATTTGTGGTGTTATGTATAAATTAACTAAAGTTGGAAAATGATAGCTGCCCAAAGTATCATCTGACAAAACAGACCAATCGCATAAACCAGCAATGACAGGAGAAGCAAAAGCTACATCAATAGCAGATGGGGCTTGATTAGGACGATTTAATGTGGTACTTTCACCAGTATTTAAAACACATAAATTTATCTCGTCTAGCATGTCGTAGATCTGTGTTCCTCTAATTTGATTACTTTGACATCCAAATATAGTGTGATGTGCATTCATATCACCCATGACTAATACCGGAGAAGAAAGAGAAAGAATAATATTTTTTAATAATGTAACAGGGAATCGCCCTCTTCGAGGAGGACAATAACATCCTAAAATATTTAAGAACCCAGAATTTATTTCAACTTTAATTGCAACAGTTTGAATTTTATCATTTGATTGGGTGGTAACATTAGAACATTTTAAAAATTCTTTATAAAAGACGGCAACACCGCCATGACCTTTGTTTACATTGTGATCCCAACGATATACTTTATAACCTCTAATATTTACTGTATCTGTATTTTTTAACCAAGTTTCATTTAAAATCAAGATGTCAATATTATGTTTAGCAAGTAAATGTGTGATTAAAGGAAGCTTTGGTCTTAAACTTTGTATATTATGTTGTACAATATTTAAGGAATCTATAATAACCTTCTGATCCATTATAGATTGATGTTTTTAAGAAATACTTCTTTGATTGTAGAAGTATTAACAGGTAAGTTAGTGTCTTTTTTTGAAAGGGAAGTTAATGTTTGTACTAAAGCTGTCAAAATTAAATCGTTATTGATAACTTCTGAAATAAAATCTTTCTCTTTTCTCTTAGGTGTGTAACTTTGAGCTGCTTTATTTGTTTGAGCAAAACTCAAGTTCAGATTAGGAAAATGTGAACTTAGGGTACTGTTTTTGTTTATAATTTTTTCTTTATTTTCAAGTATTTTTTGAATTTTAACTGGACAAAGTCTGGAAACTGCGGTATGGTTTCCTTTACAATTTACACAGATAGGATTCTCAACATTAGTACATTCTTTATAATTATGACCTTCTGTACAAATTGAGCAAACCATATCTCGTTTACAGAACTTTGTAGTGTGTCCAAATTTCATGCACTTATAACATTGCATTACAGGTTTTATGTATGGTTCGACTTTAAATTTACATAGCTCGTACGTTACATATTCTGGCAAAATGTTACCTGCAAATGTTATAGAGACAGTCTGAAGTGGAATCATTCCACTATCGGACCGTTTCATAAATCGCCTCACTGAAAGTATTTCCTGTTGAGAAGATAATTTATTAAATAAATGTTTGTTACTGAGATCAGTGGGAACAAACTTTACAACACCAGTACATTCAGTTGTCGATGCGGGGATGAATGCTTTTAATTCTTGAACATTTAAAAAGGTTGAATCACGTAATAGTGAATTTGCATTTTTTGCATTGTCAAATATTACGGCATATTTTAGTGCATTTACTCGTCTCAATTCCTTGACTCCTTTTACATATCTACTGAATAAATTATTTAAGTAAACTGGACTTTTATTACCAAATTTAACCTCTTCTTTAATGCTTTGTATAAATACAGTAAATGTTGTGTTTGGTGAATTTTCTTGATAACTCCTTATATAATTAGGTTTTAAATAAGGCGCATAAAATGTAGGGTCCTCATCTTTATCTGAATTTTCCTCTTCATGTGGTAGTGGTAAAGTAGCTTCTTTCTTCCTTTTATTTGGTGGTGGTTTAGCAGGAGAATTTCTCATCCCTTTTTTGTTTTGGGTGCCGCCACTGTCAGCACCCATTTTTATCGCACAAAAACGGGGCTAGGATTTAATTAACTCTATAAATTATTTAATATCAAAAGACTGTAGAAAAAATGAACTTCCCGCCTCAAAGTTCCCGCGCTTTTTTTCCATAGTCATCTCGAATTCAGCGTTGCCAGCTTGGACGATATATGGCTAAATAGGTTAATTCAAAATTTCAGTGGACAAGAACGAGTAGGAAGAAAGTGTGCTTATTAAGTAGAAAACTATGTGATATTCCGTATTTATGTTTATATTTATAGTATATATATATATAACATAAAACGGGTTTTAAATGAATTTTGTTGCAAGAAATAATTATTTTAATGACAAGTACGCAGTGAAAATAAAAATTAATTTTATTCAATGAACACTTACTGGACGCGATTACATACGATTATAAACCTAATTCGAATATTTATTTCGGCCGCTAAATATGTCTCCCGAATAAGGAAAGGTATCATATCGTATGAATGTCATACAATATCATAAATATTTGTTTGATTATATTAGAACCTAATTAATTCCGTTGGGTCAAAAGACAACCTCCTTAATAAAAAGAGAGTAAAGGTCTCTTGATACACAAAATTTGCTTTTCATTTTTCTCACCAAATCCTAAAATAGTATAACAGAATAAAAAGCAAATGTTTTATGTGGTTTAATTGAATTTCTGGTAGATTATATTGATTTAGATTTATATTCGTATTCGCATCGTTTAGACTGCATAATACTACCCAGAAAACTGGTCAATTCTTGTATATTTTATCCTCTGTGATCGTAGTATTTATATAATAATCCATAATTGTGAGGGAAGTTACCTCCGAACTTCTCACGTTAACAGAGTAACTATAGTGGTGTTCAAGTAAATAACGTAGAATAAGATAAACAAAATATATTTCTAATCAAAATAAAATAATTCACACACTCTCTTTTCAAATATTCAAACATATTTCATCTGCCATACCAGCCAGTCTAGACATCGATTGCAAACCTCGTTCTAACAATAATCCCTATAGGGTCGTATTTAAATATTGATAATAGATCACAATATGACAAATCTAAATAAAAAAATCTATCCTTACACGGTGAGTATTGTGGCAGAGCGAGGGGAGATTTTTCCGCGAATTACTTGTCAAATTTGGGGTACTTAAGTCAAATATCAATTTTAGCAATCTGCATTCACTATTATCTGGCAATCTTGCTCATGTCATTGATAGGTCTAAGACCAGAATTTCTAATTCAATGGTAAATGCCAAAGCGGAAAATTATGTTTAAAAGTTATACATACGAAATGTTTACTAGTAATAATTTGTCTCGACTACTGACAACACACTCCGACCTAACGAGCATCAAATAAGAACAAAAATATTTAAACAATATGTCATTGATTTGTCTCCCAGCTGGCGATACATTCGTACCAGTTAAAATAGAAGAACATGATTTATATGGAGGCATTTTAAATTTTCTTAAAGTTATAAGGCCAAATTGGCAATCTGATAATATTACGTTCAAGGTTCGTATATCCAATTTATTATTTTGTGTCATACCTTTAAACAGCTACGAGAGAGCCAAGTACATATATAATTATTAACTATGTAAATACTTAAAATAAATGTAAAGTTTGCATTTTCAATCTTACGATAATATGTTAAGAATGTTGAAGTATAAAAAAATATACAGAATATATGAATTCAATAATAATACATTAATAAAAAATACATTTCGAAGTTAGGACTCTACTGAATTCAACTGAAAATATTTAATTATTTCTGATTTATAATAATAAGATAAGTTATTATCTGCTTATTAAATCATTCTCACCTCTCTTCCCTATTAAAATTAAATAATATTACATGCGTTTGATGTATATTGAATACTGACTACTACTGCTAATGCTTGGAATAAACTTATAATTTTTATTTTAGTCCATTAGGCTTCACTATGTAATCATGTATCAATTTTCGCCAATAAATGTTTATTGTAAAAATGTTTATTTGTACATTTATATATTTATATAACTATTGTTTGTTGTTAAAAAAAGGTGCAAAATAATAAACAATTGTATAAATATTCGGATAACTCCTTGTATTTACTTGACAATATGTTAAATAAATAAAATTGCAGACTTTTACGGATGGCATCACAAACAAATTAGTAGCCTGTCAATTGGATTCAAATTCAAGTGGTGAGGATGAAATTATCCTGGTTCGTATATATGGAAATAAAACTGACTTACTCATTGATAGAAATGCTGAAATCAGGTAAGAATACTATACATATAGTTACCCTATGAATAATGAAAGAAGCTACAAATGATATACATGATTTCTATTAGTGGCTGTACATATCAAATTATATCACATAAATTTTGTGATATTTGTGACACACCATGTCCTAGTGTGATGTCCATTTTTGAAATTTCAATGATTTTTGTTTTAATATTAGGTATGCATAAATGTTCAATGTTGTAGGTTAGGACCCCTTGTTCTTGTTGAGTTATGGATGGTTCTTTATAATACTATTGACATTACACTAACTGGAATACTAGTTTGCAACCATCCACTTTGCAGAATTCTACTACTTGATTTCGGTATTGTAAATATTTTCTTAACATATACATTTACCTTCCCAGACATCAATACCATCCTATGGGGGGTGTGAGAGTGTCTATTAGCCCCAGTGTTGGCAAGATTAGGACAACCTTCTAGCAGTTCCCCCTGGATGCCATTGTGGTTTTTTCCTGTTGAATTTGTCATGAAGGGCTAGCTAACCTGACTTTATACTTATTCTATTATTCGTCTCTGATGCCACACCAGTATTCTATTAGTTATTATGTTTATCCATTAAAAAACCCCTACTCACCTTGCTCTTAAGGAGCACACCTAGTGTGACAACCTAAAAAAGGCCATTTTTGGGCAAAAAAACTAGTGAATCCATCTATTTAAAATTTTGAGGGTATATTTATACATGTTTTGAGAATACACAGTAAAATTTTTGAAATATAATATTAAATATTTTTAAAATGACACGCGATCTCCGGCGGCGCCAAAAAAAAAAGGTCCTCCACTGCTGGAGTGATTGCAGCCTTATCCGTTGATAAAACCTAAAAAAAAAAATTCTCGTTAAACTAAAACATATTGTCTGTACGATGACCCTCGGGCGAGCAAAAAAATCAAAAATTGAGAAAATGGCGGTATTTTGAAAAAAAAAATTAAATTTTTTCCAAAATTTTGGTCGTTTTTGGCCGGTCAAAATTCGATTTTTGATCAGATTAAAAAACTGGAGGGTCATCGTATGGAGAACTATATAGAGGAGATGCAAAAAAAATTTGATAGCGATCGGATCATTTGTCTTCGAGTAATCACTCCAGCAAATTCGAAAAATGCTGTTTCGAGAAAAACTCGTTTAAAGATAAAATGATCGTTTTCACTGTTATAAATGGATTAAAATCATACTTACAGCTAATCTGCTATTCCAGGCCCATATAATTCACCTTCCTCTTCCTCAAAAAGTGCTTGTTGAGCTGAAGAAGCTCTTCTTCGAGATGATCGACCCTCTTTTGAATAAGCCCGTAGGCAATGATCAGCGATTCTTAGTCTCGTCTCGTCCTTAAGACCCGTATAATCTCTTGCTGCAGGTCCAACTTTTACTCCCATTACATTAAATATCTTTAAAATTGAGGAGTAACCGTCATTGAATATTGAAGTTGCAAAAAAATTTGCTAATTCAATAGTTTTCAATCCGTTATGAAGGTGCTTTGGTGAAGTGCCAAAGTAAACCATAACTGTAACTTTCATTATTGTTTGGAGTATTACTACCTTTGCATCTATCAAGCAACAAAAACCGGAATCGTATTACCGGGTTGGAAGAGACGGCAGACTCCGAACAATAGCTCAGGTATATCCCGTAGCCAATGCAACTTTCTAACTGCCGAGCGGCTACTCTTTTAAATGGCTGTAACTCAAAAACTATTTAAGATATCGATTTAAAATTTTAGTATGTTATTTTTAAAGGTATAACCTATCGAAATATGGAAAAATAAATCGTATTTTTGAAAATTTCACACTATGTGTGCCCTTTAAGGTTTCTTTCCCATTTAAAACTTGGCTCCTTTTGATGGTATTGTGATGTTACATATATTCCATAAATAATGGGATGGGACATAGGATTCCACAAATATTGTGGCTATCTATTGGTAAAAGAATTTTCAAAATAGATTCCGTAGATCCAGAGATTACCCATCCTACTACCTCACCTCTTTACAACATTCAGATAATGACCAAGTTTTTTTCATATGTTCTCTTTTCCGTCTGCAATCTGCAATAGCTGCAGCTATAATTAGATTGTGTGGTGATATGATAAGGAATATTGAGTGTAGTGCCATCTCATTTATTTATTTGAGATGCTGGCTAGTATCAAGTACTACAACAAATAATATTTATGTTCATTTATACCATTCAATTAGTATATAATATTGTAATCTATTCCTATCCTGTTGAATCAATAGTGGCAACCTGCAGGTTAGGAACAATGCAGGCAGAGGACTAAGATGAAATGGAATATTTTAATTACTGCACATTGACAAAGAAAATCTAGTTCTTCATTATTATTCTATATACTTCAATATTATTTCTATGCACATGCATAGAAATTATAAGTACATACTTATAATAAGTATATAAAAATAATGCTTGTTGTTTCAGAAACATCAAAACTTTGAATGTTCTTGGATTAGCGCCTAAAGTATATGGTGTATTTGAAAATGGTTTAGCATATCAGTACTACCCGGGCGTAACTCTCAATATTGATTCTGTGGTGGATGGCAAAATATGGCCTTTAGTAGCGCAGCATATGGCAAAAATGCACAAAGTTAGACTAGGAGAAGATGTATGTATACTTATTATATGCTTTTTTATTCCAATATCCGATTATAAACATTTTTGGGTATGGATGTTTGTTACTCTTTCACACAAAAACTGCTAAACGAATTTTGATGAAACTTTACAGCTTATACATCAGAACAACACATAGGCCATTATTGTTTCTTTTGAAATGTTAATTGATTACTTAAAAGTGTTTTTGTTATCGCTATAATTTATATAAGTGTTGCAATTGCATGTTCAATATTGAGAAATTGAAATATTCATCCGGTTATATTATAAATTGGTTTATTGCCGACTTCCCTTGGTTTGATAGAATAATGTATCGACCATTAAGAAAAGGAAGTCATGTAGAGATACTTTTTAATGTGTAATAATGCAGCAATATGTAATATGTAATAATGTTTATTTAGCGGCATTTATAAAATGTATATAAGAGAAGAAATATATTCTGCTTCATGCTTCATAATGGATTCCCTGTAAAGTTGATAATGATAATAGGTTTGCAAAGCAAACCTATTATCATACATAATTGTAATTAAACCGTCTCAGTACATTAAATATCATTTAAGATGACTGTATGTATATGTCGTATGGTGGTTGGTGGTGGTTAATAAATAATAGTTTTTAAAATTTTTGTCGGTGCGTTTGTCACGCGCATCTTAGATAATGCGGGTTTTTCTACTTTATTGTAACCTAAAACTATCTACTAGCTACCAAATACTACTACTAAGTGTTACAGGTATCCACTAGCTTATTTAGCATTAGTTTATTTACGGACTATCAACGTTGTAATCTTTAGGAGTGCCAAGCATGACAAGCGCTATGTCTATTACCGTGTAATCTGTAACAAGGTGTTTTCTCATACAAGGTCATCAGAATTGTGATTAAATAATATCATATTTAACTTTGAAATTTGTAATCTCTTCGTTTGTTGTCACCTTGTCAATTGTCATTTAATTCTATCCTGTGTTTCGCTGCGTGATAAGTACGTAAATAGACCGGAGAAAGACCATTATATTACAAACTTATACCTTTTTTGTACACTTAATTTATAATGTATATAAACTATATATACTACAATGTTTAAACTTCGCAATATTTATTAGTATAAGCGGCTCATTTACACTTGAACCTCTACTTTCCATAGAAACCATAAATAAATAATAAAATTACATATTCTATTTTTAAAAAACTATGGCAGTCTGCCCACCCCCCCGTATAAACATCCAGAAAATACATAATAGAACGGTAAATAGCCTACGGGTGGGCTATTTTAAAGCTAAATTAGATGAGACTGAAGTACCCACACGACCACTTACAAAGTCTACCGTCATCCCCGCACATAACAATATTTGTATTCATAAGTAGGTATATTATATGTTTTATTAGACTGGTTAGAGTTATATATCTGTGTATATTAAAAGTATTTCTAAAGAATGGTTACGGGGGACTATGTATTAGTTTTATATAAAGAAAACGATGATCGCTGACAGTAAAGACTGCAAAAGTGACAAAAGGAACAATAGAAAAACAGATTTTAAAATATCTTAAAAAATACAATAAAAGTATAAAAAAGTGCGTTGTGCGTGCATAAGTAGGTATATCTACCAGTTATCTATTACGCAAAGTACCTAAGTTCTGCTTGATTTGAGACTAGATAGCGCTGTGTCAGTTTCGAGTTATTTAGGTATTTATAGATATTAGTTTATTTTATTTTATTAGAGTGATAGATTGTTTTATTAGAGTATTCCCCGTCATTTTACCTGCCTAAGTACAGTCACAGTTAAAAAATATTAGATAATATAGCCTACATAAGAGTGAATATATTACGCGCACGTACTAACTTCTTATCAATTGTATTTTAACCTCTTACAAATATGTATTAACTATTACAAGAATATGACGATGATAAATACTACAGTTGGTAAATAATTCCATGCCTCTTGTATTAGATAAAGTTAGTATCTAGTTATATAAATGTATAAGATAAAAAAGTTTAAAGTAGATTTAAATTTTTTATTGCCATACTTATTGGTATATCTATTGACGTAAATATAATGCTCTAAAACAATATTAGATGCACTACTATGGTATAGCTATTTGAATAGTGTCTCATAAATAAAAATTTTAATAAAGAAATGCTATGATACAATAGCATACGAAATCTAAGTAAAAAGTGAAATCCTTTTTAGTGTTGCTTTGTACTTCTATCCGTTCGACTATGACAGCCGAGATTCAGCCGGTCTAGGTACTGTAGACTCTAATCTTAATATCATTTTTAATCCATACTTGTACGTTCCTTACAACCGAAATTAAAACTAAACAGAAAAAAGTAACAATACCGGTTAGTCACCTCATTGACCACGAAATATGGAATTATTACATTGATAGTGTAATAGCCCAAGAGCCCACGACGGCCAGACATACGTCATATTAGTAAACGTGAAAGTTCTTGTATGTGTGTCCCCAACAGAGGTAAGAATGATCCCCAAACATGAAACCTGGATCGTGGTTCCTTTAGCAGGTAACAGGTAACAAAGGTGTAAAAAATTTCATATCAAATTCGTTATTTTAAGAAACTCCATATTTTCATATATTGTTCTTAGCATTATTATAACTTGCTCTGCTCATTGCCGGACACTTAGTGTGGTTCCAACCCCCCGCCGGACCCCCCTAAACTATACTACTTTATAAATAAACTTACGTTATTTTAATAAAGCTGAACTTTATATATATTATTGAGAGAACTATTAAATTGCCAGACAGTTTTCCTGGTGTTTCATCCTACCAGACTCATTGTAACCGTATATTGGGTAACAACGGTGTATACAATTTCATATCAAATTCGTTATTTTAAGATGATCCATTTTTTCGCATATAGATCGTACCGTCGTTGGCTCTTGCTCTATAACTCAAGAGTATAAAAAGTTGTGAAAGAGCAATCCAATGCCATTATTGGAATTAGTTCCACGAGTGCACCTACTCTCTTCCTGAATTCTTGATATACTTTACGTCTACCTGTCATACAATAAGGTGTAAATTTTGTTACAGATTAAAAAAGATCCAGTTACGTGGGACAAAATAGAGCAATTTCTCAGTTTACTTCCAGTGCCGTTTACTGATGTAAATAAGCAAAACAGGTCTGTTTTATAGCAGTTATAACAAAAGCAGTTATTGTTAATATTGGGCATTTGGTTTCTTTTTGCAGAATTAACTTCACGACAATAATTGGTTTAAGGTGCAGTATTATAAATTCAACACAGTTAACTGAAATTGTGTTTTACCGTAATATGCGTACACCCGTAAGCGAAAAATTCGTCATATATATTATTTTATAAAGAGATTTTCCGGTATTTATTTTTTTACAATGCACTACGTATTAATTTTATGTATAACCACTCATGTACGATATATATATATGAATAATAAATTAATAACATTAATACGTTAGTATAAGATGTAAATAAAATACAGCAATTGGTCTATTTTTATACGGCCCGGTACAATTAATTATTTCAATCCTTATTTTTTATAATTTTTTTATTAAAAATACCCAATCCAAATTGGGCGTTATTGGCAGATTATTTATTATGAATAATGAAATAATATTTGCAACAGGTATAGTTGACGTTGTATTGGCTGTCATCTTTAATCAGATTTTCTCATGTTTCACTCAAAGAGTTTTCATTTTCATAACCCATGTAGTGAAGGGCATCCATAAAAAAAATGTTAGACAGAGCCAGATAAAAATAAAATTCTTTTAAGGGAGGAACTCTACTATAGGTCTACCATTAGAATTTACAATAGTTTCTGTAATTTAAAGATTTTTTCGTTGTATTTACAAAGAGTTGTTATCCATTTCTGTTGTAGATTTGCCAGTAGTTTTGGGTCGATAACAAGACTAAGGATAGAGTTTGAACGCCTAAAATCACACTTAATCAAAACTGAGAGCCCAATTGTGTTTGCTCACAATGATTTGCTTCTAGGAAACGTGATCTACAATCAACATGAAGGGACCATAGCTTTCATTGACTTTGAATATGCAGCGTATAATTATCAAGCATTTGATATTGCGAATCATTTTAACGAATTCGTTGGTAAGTAACAAATTATACATACATATATATATAGCTGCAATTATAAATATGTATGTATTTTGTAATATATACAAAATACACAAAATAGGATACTTATCTCGGTTTGATTCTTCGCACAATTCTTCGAATTGTAGTCCTGAGTAATATTTGTATTCAGTACTACAATTCTTTGTACTACTCTAGTGTTTTCTATATATATTTTTTTATGCATAACAATGGAATGATGCACCCGCATGCGCTAACAGTTTACGCTGGCGGGACACCAGTAGTGAATGATAAAATATGCATGAAGTCAGGTCAGTTAGCTTATCTTGGCAAATGGCAATTTACCAACGCGTGGAGATCAACCTAACATTGTACATTGCTAGCAATAGGGTTATTAGTCCATATTACTAACAATCCTTTTCTGAAAGGGAGTGGTAGTTTGATGCAGTTTGCATCAAACTACCATTCCCACTTCCCGCCTGAACTCTATTACCTCGAAAAACGATGAAATATCATTTACCAAATTTATTTCAATTAAAATTTACCTAATTTATTTTAGGTCTTTCCATTGATGATATAGATTACAAGAAATATCCAAGTAAAGAATTTCAGTTGTCCTGGATTAAGGTATATTTAACCGAGTATAAGGATGGAGTCACACCGCGCGAGATAGAAATAGAACAAGTATACGCTGAAGTGCAGCAGTATGTTCTTGCATCTCACTTTTTATGGGGTATATGGTCGCTTGTGCAGTTCGAGTTATCTGATATAGATTTTGATTTCGGAAAGTGAGTATCTTCATATATTTATTTTATTTATTAAAACTATAATGCACAAATACAAAAATAAAGGTGCATATAGGACTTAACACCTAAGACATATTTACACACTTAAGACATATCTAGAGAGACTGTTAATAAATATATATATTTATTTAAAATTTAAATATATTATTTGTATAAGTATTTGGTATACTACTACTACTAATTTAAGCAATACTTGATGGTAAGCGGTAACCGTTGCCTAAATACGTGAATAGTACTACAAACATCACGTCATCGTCATCATGTGACAGCCGCAATAGCACTCATGCAGTGGCATTCCATCCCATCCCAGAGGACTAAGTTGTCATGCACTATATCTTGTAATTTCATTTCCTGTCACTCAACGCTCTATTCCCATTAAAGTGCATATTTCATTGTTATAACACATAACTTGAGTTCAATTTATAATAGTTGTCTTTAGACGTTATTTACTAACCATAGTAAAACTAATTTCAACAATTCAATTTGGCATATATTTAATATGTTAGCATAGTTTAGTTCAAAGTACTTAGCTATTTAGCACGTACACGATGAAATACGTGACCACATATGTTTTTCTTAGATAACGATTCATTATTGGCTAACTTACTCAATTTTCTTACCGATACATTATGGTTGTGTTTTGTAGCAATTGTAAAATTGATTTTTTTTCAGATATGCGGAAATTAGGTTAACCAGGTATTACGAGTTAAAAGATAAAATATTTAAAGATTTAAGTTGAATAAATTTATTGCAGCTATGTAATATACGCCAAATATGTATATTAATATATTAAATTAAATTATAATAAAATAAGAATAAGTATTGTTTGTTTCTTAATTTCGTAAGCACAATGTAAGTTTAAGTATGTATTACCTACCTATTTATTTATATACCAGAAGATCATACAGGTCATATCTATACATTTCAGTATTTTCAACAATTATAACTTAGAGAATAAAGTACTAGTTTCGGTAATTCCTACAAAATGCAAGAAAAAAATACTTTCTTAAAACTTATACGAGTAGGTATATCCTAAACTTTCTAGTTTCTCAGAAACAACTTCTCATCATATCTGTTCACATATACCTACCGACTACGTAAGTCGGTAGGTATATGTACAATGTTGACACACTTTCTTTTCTTTAAAGAAGGTCAAGATTGTAAGGTTTTAGACCGGGGTATTTTTTTATTGTAGTGCCTCCACACAGTAGAAGCGAGCGTGAAGATTAATTGCCATTTTGTGGGACGATTTGACCTCGACCTTCATCATCTTGTAGCGTCGGTACGAAGGCGATAGCGAATATACAAAGCCTTACTTTATTAAAATTACTTCAGGTAATTAAAATAAAGCTTACCTAGACACGCGGTAGCGTGTCAAGCCGAGTTTCAAGTAAACTGGCCTGCAGCACCGTGTGTATATTTACACGAACCATTTGGAGCCACTTTTGACCCCCTCATAACTCAAAAACTCTTTCATATACGAAATATACTGTAGCCTTCGCAAGTTCTAAACATGTTACTTGTCGGTTCCTATTTTAATATTAATAGTAACTAGCAATCGAAAGTAATAATTGGTATATGAAAACTAGCCAAGTTAGACCTTAGGCTACAGTATATTATCCTAAGTTATAAGAAGAAATGATATTTTATATTGTTATAAATACATTTCAGGACAGACCATTAAACTTGGCACCCATTTAGATCTCATCTCTTTTGTCGTAGAAGTCAACAATCAAGGTATATATCATAATATTAAACTCGGCTATCATTTCACATTTATGTTTTTGATGGGATTTGTATAACATCATGTAGTGTTGTTGAAGTGTCAAATGACATTTACGTATAAACATTTAAAAAATCTAGATTGCAGAATTGTTACAAACTGTACATTAAACAGATTTATAAAAATTTATAAAATATAGATATCATAATATAGCGCGGTGGTTATCGTCACTTCACCACTGGACCGATATATATGATGTGATGAGATGTGGCTACTTAAATTATTTAGGTATTCCTTGTCTATGTAGATAGTGAGTATACAGATAGAATAATTGAACTACTTTAGTAAGTTTCTTTGATAGTGTGTGACATGGTTTATTAGTAACGCGTACATTCGAGTCTGTGTCGTGACGTATATTGACTTTACACAGAACTTATTCAAAGTTATGTGGACACGTAAGCTAATAAAAAGGCACCGCGTGTTGATAGAAATATTACAATTGTAAACACAATCAGAACAAAGTTTTTAATTAAAAACAAAGTAAACGTTATTGCCTAGATTACATTGTAGCCTACCTTTATGTATGACTAATAATCTTGTAATTATTTTGTACCGTTCTGGGCAATAACAAAACGTAAACGGCAGGGTATTTAGATATCAAATGAGAGCGTATATTATTCGAGCATTTCATAATAATTAGTATAAAATACTGTTGAACAGAGTTTTGGATAAACAAACTACGCGAGGTGTAATATCTTACAATGATACATAATTATGTATTATATTATAATACATAATTTTTATACAATATTTTCGTAAATTCTTATTGTTTCGGAAGTACTATTATTTATGTCAACGATATCACGTGACGATCAAATTCTAATTTTGTCACGATTGAAGTCAGCTATTATGACCAAAACTATAAGTAGCCTACTAAAGTATACACAGCAAAAAATTCTCTGTATCTTACCTATATTTTTGTAGTCTCTGACAATATGCACATAAGATGCCATGCAACTCACTTACGCAGTCATATACTCATATCAAACATTCCGACCTCTTCAATATGGACGCAACGTATGACCCTAAAAACTAGAAGGTAATGAGGTGATTTAGGTACTATATTTAGTTAGTAAGTTAGTATGTTTTGGGTGATTTCGTTTTACTTCGCTGTACTTATGAACTAGGTACGGCTTTTTCAAGTTAGGAATCGTGAATGTTTACAAGGTTTAGCGGGTAAGATGGGGCCGCTATTATTTATGTTTGTGTTCGTGTAGAAGCAGCATCAGGAAGATGGAGGTGAAGAGAAACCAGTCGTGATTATTTACATATTTATAATATAGAAGTATTTACAATTAGTATATGTACAAGAAGGCGATTCGGTCTCGAATGACAAGCTTGATAGTAGTTAATTCGCCACAAAGGGAACAAAACCGATTGAATATAAAATTTAGTCATAAGTATCTAGTATACTACTAAAGGAGTATCCTTTAGTAGTATACTGTTTTCCTTTTCCTTCATATAGTAGGTATACTACCTGTCTATATAGATATAATGTATTTTAAAATGGAACAAAAACATTGATCTTGGTTGATATTTAGCGTTTTTTATTCATAGATCGCTGGATCGTATCCGACTTGAAGGTCCAAATAATTATGTATTATTTATACCAATATATCCTCTCGATATTGTCAAGATGAAGGCATTGCTGTCGAAGATTATAAAATACGATCTTATTTTATTGGATTGTTACATAATAATATAATATACTTTGTAGATGTAATATAATATTATATCTGTAAATATTTAACATATAATGATTGTAGTGACACTTCACCTAGTAATGAAACTGCAGCGGCACTTTTTCTGAACAATATAATTATCCACTTTCTATCGGGGGCAGTGCTCGGGTAGCGAGTAGTGACACATGCGCTGTTTATTCAAATTCAATCAAACGGCGTTACCTCAATTGATTACAACTGAGTACTCCTGTATTCAGGGCCGGCGGAAACCGGCATGCAAAGTAGGCGGGCGCCTCGTCGAAGAAGCGCCATCACGAGATTCGGAAATATACTATAATTTTATAAATATATAGAATATTTAATAAATTATAATAAATAACTAACTTAACTATGAATAAGGAGACATAAACCGCGCTAGGATAAAAATTGCATGCAGGCGCTTAGGATCCTAGCACCGGCCCTGCCTGTATTATATAGCAATGCATCAAGAGACGAGTGAAACAGTAATGGTTTGGGTAAGATCAACAATATATCATTTTCACAGTCAAACAAAACAATTTCGTTATAAATTTATTACGATTGTTACTAGTTTACTATGTAATTATAGTATTTTGACATGTGATTGAAGTAATAGATTTAGGTAATATTTTTTTTAAATTAAATAGTTTACATATATATTGTTATTATTTGAGTGTAAAACATTAAAGATATGCATTTACAACAAAAATGTTTAATTTTCGATTTATTTTTATTAAACAATATGCTATCAGTAACTATCACAATATATGCAGACAAAATATATACCATCATTTAGTTTATCTAATTACCTTCTCAGTCTAATAACTAAAACTGTTATAAAATTTTATTAGATTCGAACATTTGTCTCAAATAGATCCAAGCCCCTTGATTGTTGTAAAACTATTTCTAATGAACAGCTATTCATTAATTTAACAATTAGCTTACTATAATATAGGTAAAGGAAACACTGAAAACAAATACATAGTCATAAACAATTTATTTTCAAATAATAATTAAAGGTATAGAGCCACTTTCCATTTCATCTGTATTAATTATGTTTTGTCAATATAATCTTCATCAGTCTGTCCTCAAGTACCACTTGGTATTTTGTACCTATATTAATATTTTACAAAGTCCATAGAAAATCTTAACAAATCTTGCTCATAGAGGCAGATTTTCTTTAACTCGGCTGCCAGAGAATGTTTGTATTTGAATATCAAACATTTATATTGCCTTATGTACAAATATCAGTAAAACATAATGCAGTTCAAAATTGGTCTGTGGCATTTTGCTTCAAAATCATGTAATAGCTCATCAATATCATTGTCTAAATCTTCACTTAGAGCCATTTTTGTAACCATGTCACTAATTAGAAATGCACCAATAGTGGCCTCCTCATGGTTGTCTTGAATGTCAATATTAATAACGTGTACTGGTTGGTTATGTACAGATCGTCTTGAGCCAAACCACTCTATAACTTGATCATACACTCTTTCTTCACATGTTATAACCACATCAAATCTTTCTGTAGATACTTGAAACTTTTCTGGACATGGTTTGATTCTCCTATTCCTATCTAACATGTGCAGTAAACCGTTTTGAGTATAGTATGCCTTATCTTTTTCTAACAGATCGTTATATATATCATCATACGGTATACCAAATTCATAACAATTGGGGCGATCAGCAGACGGTCCTGGTAATTTAACCTTTTCGCCAGTGCCAAAGGATTTCACTTTGAACCCTTTTTTTACCAGGAAAGCATGGGCCTCCATACTTCGGTTCATATTCGATGAGCACACTACAGCTACATACAAATCACCCATTTTTATAAACATACGACGCCAACAGTTGTACTTGTGGCATTCACAATTTTATCAATAAAAACAAATAGAGAAAGTCATTTCTTTCAATTGCCACAAAAGATTAATAACATTGATTGATATATAATCAAAAACTGGAAATAAAGATGTTACAAATTATAGTAATCAAAGTCTACATTTCTAAAATATATAATTTATTTTTAATGAAATGAATATTAAGATATGATCACAATATTGGATAATTAGTGGTAGGAAAAATTAAGAGAAAGATTTGAATGACACTCTTGACACTGTAATGGACTATAATGAGTGACAGTGATAATTTTCAATGACATTTACATATGGGTGCAGTAGACGAAATTTTCGTTATATCTATATAAGAAATTATTATATATAACTAATAATTATTTAATGAATAAATTGTCATCACAAAAACAATATTTAATAATAAATCTAACACCTAAATGTGCTGTCTCCGATGTTAGATATAGACACTACACTACATGAATAACCTGTGACGACAGTAAGGGCGCATTAACTGTAGTCTCTGTGATTCGATCGTTAAGTACTCTGAGCAATTACAGATCAGTGAAGTCTGTTTCTGTTTTCAGAACATAATTTATATATTCCCGAACGATTATTCCTTATTCCTTAACCTATATCACAGAAAGTGGCTAGAAATTGTCCTAAAATATAGTAGATATATACACATAGAATTATCTTAAACCTAATTTATTATCAAGACAATGATACAGTCAAGAATTATTATTTAGAAAATTAGTATTTTTGTGAATATTGCGGAATAAAGTTTCATAGTTAACAAAAATGAATAAATTTAGTAATCTTTGTTCTGTAATTTTAAAGCACAATAATGTGCATAATATCCATACTTCAGCAACTACTTTAGCATGGAGTAAATCAAATGTTCCTCAGAAATTTTTAAAATATAATGAAAAAATATATCCTCCACAAGAAAATGGGGAAGAGCCAAGACCTGCAGTATGTATATACCGTAATATATATCATCATTAATTTGTATTTATTACTGCAATTATTCAATTAAAGTGATTTTCCTTTTTTTTTTACTAGTCACGTTTCAAATATTCATAAAAATGTGTACATGTAAATTGTTTTTATGGGTAATCATGCAATGCCCCCTACTACGTTAATGATATACACTGGACTTAACACCAGTAGATTATGGTAGGATGAGCATAAACTTAATTTACTCAGGACAACATTTTTGCCAAAAGTTGAACACCTTGATCAGACTGTGCAATAGGAACATTGGTTGCTCCATCCTACATTGTTTGGAAATAAACCAACAGAACATTATCATCAGCTCAGTCCGTTCGGTAAAATCTAAAATGATAGCCTCATTTTAATTAGCCTGTTGTGATACATTAATTTTAAGAGTGCAAATGTGGTTGTTGGGTTTGTCACAATATAACCATTGATATTTTTTTATTTCAGTTTGTATGTCATCAGAAAACTAACATGAAATACAGTCCAGAGAAACTGTGGTACATAGCATGTTTTGTTCGAGGTATGACAGTGGATGAAGCAGTTAAGCAATTAAGTTTTGTTAATAAAAAGGGTGCAGTGTTTGTTAAAGAAGCTATCCTTGAAGCACAGGATCTTGCAGTAAAAGAACATCATGTAGAATTTAGAAGTAATTTATGGATAGGTGAGTATTCATGTTTTTAACTTTAATATAATATTAATTATACATTTCAAAAAAAAAGAAAAATGAAATAATAAACTTTGAAATTGAAGATTAAAAAACCACTATACATTGTCATAGGAAATAAGTTACTCAATTTAGTAGAGATGGAAATCAATTGAACATGTAAGTTTAGGGTGAAGTTAGATCAATTACGCACATTATAATATTTTTATCAATTAACACACAATATTTTTCTTTGTTTCAGCGGAATCATTTGCTGGAAAGGGTCCAGTAATAAAAGGAATAAGGAGACATGCTAGAGGAAGAATGGGTGAAGTTCGCTATCAATATTGTCATTATTTTGTAAGATTAGAGGAAGGAAAACCACCTCAAGATTATTACAAGCATAACCCAATGACACCTCAGCAGCAACTTGATAAATGGCTTGAACAAATGAGGAAGAGAAAAATAATTAATTCTTACTAAAATGAAAATTTATTGTTATAATATAAAAATTAGTTACAATACCAACTTTTAATTATTATATCGCTAAGGGGTTATTACATTATCAATTACACAAGGGTATAACCAGATTTCGATATAAGGGAAGGGGAGACTGTAGGTATATATGTAAGAAAAAATTGCTTTGCTGCTACATATCTGTATTAGATACTGTAAGTTTTGTTGACAAACGATAAAATAATGCATTTGGTAATGTAATAACTAAATAATACTTATGTAATCTTAGAACAGAACGAGTCATCCAATAGGATTACCCTGGCATTCAAACAAACCCTGTACCTAAACCTACAATTGTAATTTGATAGTTTCGTAAGTTATTTTTACCACCATTAATTAAAGTAAATTTATAATAATTATAAATTTAAATGTAGGTAGTAGATGGTTAAAACATACTAGTCCTTAGTGAAAATTAATCTATGATAAATTAATATTTTATTACCAGAAAAGTTTTCAACTAAATATAAATGGCAGTCAAGTAGTCTCAATATAGGATATATTTTACTATTAAATGATAAGTACTAAATATCATAACAAAATAGCAGCCATATTCCATTTCTTAACTGTTGCTCTCTTGTTAGTTAAAATTATTATTGCAATAATTACAAATAGTCTATGATCAAAGAGTTCTCAAGAAGTTTCAGATCATACTGGCAAGGACCTAAGTCGTTACTCTAGCCTAAAATGGAGGTCATAGTTACGTACTGGTGTTTCACATTTATTAAATTTTTAATGCATGCATATGGCTGTATATCTCAATTTATTTGTTCTTTTGCACACAAAAATATACACATGGTCGACTTAATGCCTGATGGCATCCTCTACCAGTCAACCGTCGCGTTGATCAGAGATAATAAGGCGGTGCACTTTATTAATTAATTAAAAGAAAAAAAAACAAACATAACAAATAAATATTATAATTTAGTGCAAGGAGATCTTTGAAAATATATAAAAGTTATAAGTATAGGAAAAAGTACTATCACTGAGTTAGTAGTGCTAACATCTTTAGTCGTGATAGGATACTACTAACGTGACCTCGTAGATTTGACTATATCGCCTGAAAGCCCTTTACGTAGTTTTTATTGGGTAATATTCCACATATGCGTACAACTAGACGACTATCAAATGAGTTGATAAATTACATCTACTTGACACACTTTTTTGTGCAAGAAACAATGTAAGTTTTAGCAAACATAAGGAAGACAAGTTCTACTGTCGCTTCAGCTGATCTTTTGACGGCTAGAATCGTGTTAAAAGCTGATTTTGCTATCAGACAATATTTCTAACTGGTTAGAATAAGATAATATAATTATAATTTATTTTTCTATGAAAAACTGTCTCATATTACTTTATTTGCTAAACAAGTAACAAAGTAAATATAACAACTAAAAATTGTAAGGACCGTGTACTTTTAAACAGATGTACTTAAAGTTAATATCAAAATATGTTTATAAACGGAGCAATTCTACGAGACACTCTCAAAAATATTTTTTTAATTCCGAGGTAAATTCACCTGAATCCAGATTACTTTACAGAAATAGGTAGTTACAAAATTACTTATGACTTACTGATTATATCTAGACTTTAACAATCTTAGTTCTTCCATAACCACGTCTGGAGGAGTACAGATTTGATAGACATTCTACATACTATATAATAAATATAAATAATATAGTCAAGAAAAAAAATACTGAAATATATTTAAAAATAAAATATCTTCAATTTATAATCTCATAGTTCTAAAGCACCAATTAGGTATATTAAGTGGCCTAACTATTTACATAATTCTTTCATATAAAACTTATTATAATTTAAAACTTAAATCATTTAGAAGACAAAAAAATTAAGAACCTGAATATATACTTGTTCTGCTATAGAAAAATTTAACATGCACTGCACGTCACGGGTTTCTTTCAAAGGATCTGAAGAAATAGGAGAATTATATATTCATAATTATTTTTTATGTCTATATTGTGATTGAATTTTATGTTTTCGCGTATCACATTATAATGTGAAATACGAAAACATATAATTATACGTAATATTTCGCTCTAACAATATGTTGATATTGTGATAGCAAAATAGTACCTACATATAATTGTATTCTGTAGTCGAGATTACAGAGTGTTTCGAGGCCTAGAGGAACAACATAAAACAATATTTAATACAATTAAAAATAATTTCATTTATGCTTACATATTATAATACTTTGCGAAATAATAATGGAATATTCATATATGTGTCACAATGATCACACATTTAGAGAATTTTTATTTTCTTTTTTCTTAGGTACATAACCATACAAGAAAATTGAACCAATCACCAACATTGTACCGGCAGCAAACTGTATTGTCAAGACAAAACTAAAAATGAATATTGACGCTACACAGGAAATTATTATCGCTACGGATGTAGCGAATCCTTTTAGTATGTTATCTGCATATTTTACAACCACCGCTACAATAAGGCCACCGGCTGCTTGAAGTAAAACCAAGTACCACACGAAACCATCGAATCCTTTAAGCAAGTGGTTCAAAGACCCTTCATTGAAAAGATACGTTGCTAAACCGAATGGAAGGGACAGCAGACTTAGCTGTACATTTCGCATCCAAACCTAAAAAAGAAAAACACTGAATGTAAATAAGTTCTAACACCTAAAATCTTAATACAATCATAGAGACAATGTTTTTATTAATTATATATACAAATCGTATGTATAGACACTCTTGATGATGCTGAAGACATGGAATTGTTACTTGTTTTTTTTTAGAGGTTGGATATATCGTGATTTGGGCATTCATACGTTATATCAGTTAGTCTACTATAAATACATGCGCAGATCAGACAGACCAGGACGTATATTTTTGTCTGTAATAATTTAAAATATTCTACAATGTTATCCACGAATTAGATATTTTTTTTTATATACAATTATATAACAATGAACTCATCTTCCTCTCTTCTCTACTGCTTGTTGTGTCCAACAGGATACATAATTTATTTGCTATGAATTTAACTACCATATACCTAATTATGGAATGTAATACTTAAATAAATATATAATACTAAATTTCATGCTTACGAGACAAAAATGGTCGCAACTGTGGAGCAACAAGCAGCAGCAACAATAAGCAGGCCTTTCCAGTATGTCGATATATAATATCTACTGACTTATGCTACTAAACTAACTGTTAATTACACTCCATTACTTAAGACTACTGACTTCAAAGGCTAATTATCCGGTTATGAAAAAACAAATTATACGGTTGCGGTCACATCGACATCGACATTTGAGAATGGTTGTTATTAGCCCCATCTAGGATAAATATCGTGACGGTGTATTCGTCTTAATAACTTAAACTTTTTGTTTTATTTACAATAAGTAGATACGTTTATTCAGTACTTAGTTATATGAGTGACATACTCACTACTATTGTGGACATATCATGTTTTAAATATACTCACAGATACATCGGATTCTTTCAGCACTTTTTCGAAATAAATTCCAGCAAATCCTGATATAAAGCAAGCTGCTAACGCCGCACTAAAACCTAATATTCTTGACTGTTTCGGTAAATTCGAGGAGGTTTTATCACTTTCAGATGACCCGGTAGAGGACAGCTGTACGAGAGCCACTCCCGCTGCCAATAGCGCCAGGGCTAACCATTGCCACTTCTTGAGTTTCCTTTTTAAAACGACTACAGCAAAAAATGCAGTTGTCAGCAATTTTAATTGATATGTAACCTGAAATAATACAGAGCATCTACTTAAAAAATACATACTATGACACGCTATCTTATTTTCACATCCTTAATGCACCTACATTTACGTAAGCAGCTCCGTTCTTCAGAGTAAAAACTTCGACAAAAATGTAATTAAGGGATTAACTTAGCATGATACAGAACTTAATGCAAAGAAGTTTTAAAATCTTTTTTAATCTTTTGCAGTCGATTAAAAATAATATAGAACCCTATTGAGAGTTCGTTTAAATATGTAGTTTATTAGTTTCATTCTGTTAGTAATAAGAGATATTTTATAATTAATTAATTAAACATACGTACCATGAAATAAATAATTAATTAGCATACAATAATTAATTAATTAATTGTGAGTGATAATTGCATTTAAAATCTATAAATAGACAGTAAGTCTCTCGCTAATAAATTTTTTAATATTTCGTAGATCTACAAAATAATCAATAAATTGCTCGTTATAAGACTACAATGAATATTACTAATAGTACCTACCTGGTAAGTTGCAGCATCTAGGTTCGATGCAGAGACATAAAGTAAATTATTTTGTATGATGTACAGAAACGATGGTACACAAACTCGTAGAGTATCTTTAACATTTAATATAACCGTGGTATACATAGATTGCATTCCTTTTTTAATGTTCCCCGATTCTTGCATAACAAGGGCAAAACAAATTATCAATTTAAATACCTCCGCCATAAACACAGCTGAAAATAAAATATGTGATTTGAAGTACAGAATAGATATAGAACTTACTACCCGCAACTTCTTCTGCACAAATATTCTTTCTCTGTTTCAGTTCTTCATTCGAATTTCTAATATTAATATAGATACTGACGTCACTTATTGTAATTAAATACATAGATATTAACTACATTTGGAATAAGTCATATTACTTAAAGTAAGCGATGGTAAATAGATTACAAACATAATAACTATATAGAAGATAGAAGATATAATAATACTAAATATGTAGAAGATACTCTTACTCCCGCAAAAGATTTCTTACATTTTCCATAATAAGTATAAGTTATGAGACATGTAAATTCGTTTACAAATGTACATCATTCTTATTATGTCGCCATGAAATTATGCACAGATATTCTTTACATTGCTACATCATTTAATCAGAGAGAAGTCACTGATTAAATGATGTACCAATGTAAAGAATCTATATAACTACAATGGCTCCCATTTTTCTCGGGTGAATCTGTAAAGATAAACTACGGTTGATGGCAAAAGCATTATATAAATAATATGATAATCGACAAATTGTCTTTAATTCGCTTATTGAATTTCTTATGATGTTTACCTATTTAACGATGAGTAAGATTCGTGTAGCTAGTATTTTATACGGGTTTATATTCTCGTGAATTAGCATACACATAAATAAATAAGAATGTGTTGACATTGCGTGTGTCGAAATTACAAGCTTTAGAAGGTCACAATCTCAGTGCAATCACCAATCGAGTGACGCAATAGGACGATTCTCACCTGCTGACGATGAAAACATCTCAACGTCTCTTGTGCGTGCATACCGCATACTAAGACCCAGTACAGCATTTTGTAACGTTAGAATAACTAAACTTACATATTTTATATACCCTGAAACAAAAAGTAGCGTTTAATTAACGTTCTAATGCCTTGACTAAGGCATTAGAACTTGGCTAAGGTACCTATATATGTACTACCTACAGGTAGTACATAATGGTTCCCCCCTAAAGATATTTTTTTACAAACTTAGGATGTCATATTTATTTATATTTAATCAACAGACTCAAAAATAAGTTTCTAGCTTCAACAATGACGAATTTACGTAAACAAAATTATACCCTAATTTATTTAACCCCCTTAAGGGTAAAATTAAATTAAAAACTTTGTATGTCATATTTATTTATATTTAATTAGCAGTCTCAAAACAAAATTTCAAGCTTCTAGCTTAAAAAATGACGATTCTTCCATACAATCTTTCATCCCCAATTTCGACCCCTTACAACCTTTGTTTAGCTTTAAAAAGTAACTTATGTCCTTTCTCAGGGTCTAGACTATCTGTGTACCAAATTTCATTTAAATCGGTTCAGTAGTTTTGGCGTGAAAGCGGGACAGACAGACAGAGTTACTTTGGCATTTATAATATTAAGTAAAGAAGTAAGGATAAAAAAATATGTTTTAAGCTTCTAGCTTTAAAAATGACGATTCTTCTCTTTCAAACTTCCTACAACCCGTTTTTCACAAAAGCAGCTTATATCCTTTCTCAGGGTCTAGACTATCTGTGTACCAAATTTCATTTAAATCGGTTCAATAGTTTTGGCGTGAAAACGGGACAGACAGACGGTTACTTTCGCATTTATAATATTATTTAGAATTTCATTTCGACGGATAACTACATAGGATATATACTATTCGTACTGATAATTGAGGTTATTTGACAAATAACATAAAGATATATTATTTCTTAGCTACTATTACAACTGATAAATTATTATTGTAACAGATAAGTTTCACATTAACGTTAATTGAATTTTTATTAAATTTTTGTAGACATAATCAATTAAGGAAAAAATGTTTATCATATAATTTTCGTTAGATACATGATATTCGACATGATATTATGTGTAGATTATGATTTACGTTTAAGTACGTAGTTGCATTACTTTACAAGAATGAATTGTAATTTTGGTCATCGTAAAGGTTCAATGAATCTAAAGTAATTTTAATGTTATTTTAAAAATACTTAAGGCTGCTGTCCCTGGGACACTAATATCAATTTTTCACACTAATCAGATTTTTATAGATGTTTTATTTTAGAATTACCCGTAACATAAAAAAACACGAAGTTCATCAAAAAAAGGCCCTATCTTCAGCTTATTCGTTTGAATAATTCAAGAAGTATAGAAATTTTAAAGGTGTGGACAACATTGGAATTACAATTAATTATTTTAATGATTAGAATGACAAAAAAACAATACCTTTATATTTATAATAATACTGTAATTCGAGTAGAGCGGAATATATATATTTACGTCAAAATTTCGATTGCTATTTGGAACCTTACCACTAAATTATAATGATGCAATAAAATACAAGATAGATTGATAAAGAATAATGAAAAAAAAAAGGGAATAGATTGAGGAAATGTTTATTTCTTAAATAGAATATATTTAGTACCACTGAGGTGGTCTCCAAGAAAAAATTTAAATTCGTTTCAGGCTTAAACTCGGTTTTATAGTATAGTACACAAGCAAATAGATACATTTGGATTTCTTACCAAAATTTCTTTTATTGCCTGCATATACTTGTGATTTTTTTGTATCGTCATCCATACTTTCTGCTGTTAGCTGCGTTTCTGCTTCTGCTTCTACTTCAGGTACAGTTTCATTGGTGTCATCTGTTGACTTCATAGGTACAAGTCGAATGGGTCAGATGATGCTAAATAAGACACAAAATAAATTTATTTATATAGTAGGTACACTGGACGATTTTTATGACATTTATGAAATACGACAAATATATTCATTTCTATTAAAACTCAACCAGATTTGTACTATTTCTAGAGTACTTACTTCTAAGGTCTATTTAAGTAATGAAATAACCTTCCACGGAATAAATAAAGTAATATTTCAACTTTAGTAAATTATCAATAGAATATAATTAATGTACCAATTAATTGACGGCTTCTGTGATCTAGCGGCTGGCACAGAGCCTTATTTCCGATGATCACGAATTCGATTCCGAGTGCGTTACAAACATTTGAATTCATGAGAGTGATTATTTGTCTATTATGTATACATAGGAATCACTATGGTGTTTCTTATGTATGTGTATTTATATCCGTTGTTTATTAGCCATAACACAATCTCTGCGTAGCTTGGGACTAGAGGTGCTGTGTGAATTATCCTGAGTCCTGTGAATGTTAATTATCCTGACCTATTTTTTATGTCACGGTGAACAAGTCATTCCGTTCACAGGTACCTACTAGTCTCCCAGAAATGGTATGTATGTATAAACTTATGTGATTATTTGCAGTACTATTTCTGGACATGTGTTTACAGACAACCACACATATGTGTGTATGAGTACATATAAATAGATATTTGATTTTGTGATAAATAAGATTCAAAATCTTAGAATGACTGGATGTATTTATTACACCTATTTACAGCTATTGGAACTAGTTTCTTTTCGATATTTATCAATATTTCAATATAGTTTCAAAGACATCACAAAAATTTACATCCACAATCAAGCTGTCTGCAGAGAGTGATGTGAGTATTTTGCAAAATATTTATTTATTGATGATTATGGACATGAAGTCGAGTCAGTTAGGCCATCTTGACAAATAGTAATTTACCACAGTGGTTACAAGGAATATTTTAGGGGGGTGTGGAGGTTAATCTATCATGGTACATTACTAGAAATGGGGTTTGCACATTTGTTTAATAAATATGCAAATAGAACAAAAGAAAAATATTTTCTTAAGGTTAGTTATTTTAGTAGATTAAGTAATGAGCTACCTTAACAAAGAACTGTTCAATAACTTACAGTAGATCTTGACAAACATACACATATCACTTAGCATAAACTTTGTATTCATTTTTGCTCTAAGTAGGTAAAAATTAGTAGATAGCTGTGATGGCATTAGATTCTTAATGTAAAAAAATATCTATTGATACTAGACTATTAATGTTACTAATGTAGGGCAGTTCTGATAATCACATAAACTAGCGAATTTATACATGGATTTCCCAATAATTTACTAACAATATCAAAGATAACTAAAAACCATAAATGTTGATAGACCACACTGAAAGAAGCAACAGTAAATCAATCATTATATAAACAACTACTAACAGACAACACATTAAAATAATCATAAGGACAATACTAGGTGACAATTCCATAAATCATATGAAATAAAAAATCATTTATTCCTGGACATTTTAGCCATTTATAAACATTAAGTTTTTTTATCAATATTTTTTTCCCTACCATCCAGTTCAGTATACAGATTCATTTGAGAAGAATTGGCAAGAAACTCAACAGAATTTCTTTATTAAGTCAGTTTGTTCACATTGTTTAACATTAATTAAATGAATATCCTGTGCATGCTCAACTATTGCCATTTTTTTTATTGGGTTCATTGGGCTATTGTCAGGTACTTGGACCTGAAGCAATGTGACCTACATAGATCTATTGTGCTCATCGTTTTTCAGAATTCACTACCTTTCGGTAACAATAATTGGTGGATATTCTTAGGAGCAATGATTTTTATCTTGAAAGAGTGTAAACTTTCTAAAGGAGATATTTCCTTTATCATGCCAACCACATAGGATGTGTGTCATTTCCTCAAATGCCATGCTATTGCCAAGCATGTTTATCATTTAAGTAATTGTTTCATGAGTAATAGGCTTTGCTCAATAAATATGGTTCAACAGATGAGTTTATATGATAAAAGATCCTTTGACATCTTTTTGAAAAAAATAATACACTGCCATAAAACACTCATTGACTTTTGTTAAATGATACTTAGAAACAACAAGTTTGTCTTTAATTCTATTAATGTCATGCACATAAACAAATATTTATAAAGGGTGGTCATTATAGGTAGCCCACTCTATAGACCAATCACATAATCCTAGAGACTATGGTCATCAAATGTACACATATACTCAAAATAGTGTGTTTGCTAGTTTTCTCATCATCTTTTGAAACAAAATTCCTATACAACCAAGTATTTATTAGAAAACAAATACTTACACTTTTGTGTAATTTGTATATAATTTCAAGAAAGGCATATTTATTTTATTTTGACAAGTTAACCACAGCAAATATTACTTTAAATCTATCCAAAAAAAACTAATAACCATTAAACACTACACACAGCAGAAAGTAGTCTTTACATTTACAATAAACCTCTACTTTTAAAATATTCAAATGAAATTCATTAAAATGGGTTATTTGTAAAACAAAGTTAAAATTGTGATAAAGTATTATTTTTATTGTACTGTATGGTGTGTCCATTACAGTACAATAAAAATAATTATACATATAAGTAATATTATATATAACAAATGTTATATGTCTAGATAACAGAATAAATGACTTTTCATAATATTCATAAGTCTTTAAATTACTGGTAACTGCAAAGAGTAAAGAGAAACATTAGTAGGAAAGTTTATCAAACTCTTAAGTACAACATAGTACACAATAGGCTACATTTCATAATTCAAAAGTTCTGACATAATTGACTGGTTTTTTATAGGAACACATTATGTTCCTTGTGCTAAAATGAATATACTTTCGCTATTTAAAATATTTTATATTTTCAATTTAGTATAATAATGAAATATATATATTCATATTATATTATTATTATGTACTAACCAATAAACAGAATATTTCAGCGACAGTAAAAACTATTTAAGCACTTCACATTTCTTTTGGCAATATTTTTTTTATATTTTACCTTATAACCAGAGAAATTTTCGATTATAATGATTATAAATTTGTTTTCACTATAAATAAAACAAGACTAGAAACAAAATAAAATGGAAATGCAATTAAGGCCAATTTTAATAATTACTATGTAATATTTAATTAATTCCAATACCGCAGAATGCCACAGGTTCATATGTTAGCTTACTCTTTGTTTTGACATTGATTGTTACAGTGTCTCCAACTCTTTTGCTTCTAAAATTACAGTGTCCTAGTATAAAAATACGGTAGATTATAGAAAATAAGCTTATAGCAAAGTTAAAAAATATAATTGTTTTGCTCCTTTATATTCATAAAATACAACAGTGTATTTATGCATGTTATGGCGATTTTGCTCCAACAGTCAAATACTAAGTTGATGTTATTACTTGGTGTTTTGCTTATATTAGCAAAAAAAGTGTATAGAGTATAATTCCTCTTGGACTGTATAAACTATTAAATAGTATTGCTAACTCTGCATTTATTTGATATACCATAATATTGAAGAGTGCCTAGCCATATACGATTCAAGGCACGAATACATTTAAGTTTTTGTCCCTTCTTACCTTTTTGGGATAAAAGATTTCCGTATAAAATTTCAGTATTTCTACCAAAATGTTTAAACGTAAAAGGTAGCAAACAGATATATAAACTTTCGCATGTATAATATTTGTATGAATTTTGCAGTTTTGTGTTAATATACAACGATTTCATATTTTGATTTTAAAAATCATTGTTATTTATTGTAGTTTACTGTTATTTTTTGATTAGAAAATTTGTAACTTTAAAGGTAGAGTTGGACACACTGCCACGCAGCCACGTTGCGCCGCGCCGCCGCTGAGGTCGCTCGCTACCCATCGTGAATATTACAAAATGCTGCTATCGCGCGCGCCGTGAATGTCGTGATTTGCGCGCGGCTTTGCAAAAAGATTTGTCTACTTTCTTCTGCCGCACAAGAGCAATAGCAACAATGAACGTAGTATCTTAAACTCTATAAGGGAGGAAGGCCTGTTTGTTCCTAATTTGACTATTGGCCTATTATTTCTAGCAATATTCCATCACGCAGTCGCCCTTTGAAACTATCATAGATAATTTCTGGTATAATCGCTACAGTGGGTTAATGAAATGAGACTCCCCTATGCTACTTAGTGTATAACATTAGCATAGGTGGGTGGACCATTTCATATTCAGCCATAGAATACTATGAGAAATACATATACGATACGAAAATCTTAATAGGCTTATAACTTGATATACTTATATATATATAAAGGAAAACATTACTGGCTTTTGAATGTTTTTATAACAAATTTAAATAAAAAATATTATTTTAGATCCCTACTATGGTTGTTTTACATATTTGCAGATGAAGTTCTCAAAGTATCCACCGAGTTGAGTACAGTTTATCCACGTTTATTATACCTCCACGTAGTTCCCCCTGGAAATTATCGTGATAAATTCCTAGTGAATTTACCCACGATGGGTTAACTGACCTGTCTTCATGCTCATATTATTATCCTCTACTGGTACCCCGCCAACGTAAGGCGTTAGCGCGGATTCACCATTCCATGGAATCGACAGTCGACACGAAAAATAAAAAACAGATACAGAATGCTATAGGTTGCAACCGCTTTATATGAAAAAAGAAATCGGGAAAGTTTACTAGTTACATAATATTTTAAAAATCTGGCCCAAACTGAGCCCATGCCTATGCATTATTATGATGTATAAACTATATACTGTAGTTTTATCAAAATCTGTTCAGTAGTTTTTGCATGAAAGAGTAACAAACATACATTCATAACTTTCGCGTTTATAATATTAGTAAGATGAAGATTGCGAATGATTTGATAACGAATTTATCTAGATTTCATCTACATAAACCGCCACTTTGATATTTTTAACAGACGTTAACTGGTAAAGATTACTGCTGTATTAGATTTATTTTATTAGGATATACTTTTAATAGTATTATATACATATTACAACTGTAAATTCAGTAGATAATTCATATCTTTACATAGTATAAAACAAAGTTGTTTCCATCTGTATTCTTAGATCTTTGAAATTAAGCAACGGTATTTAAGGCAATTTTAAACAATAGAGTTTTTCAAGGGAAAATTTTATATGTATAAAACATGAAAATGACACCTACTACAGAAAAGCTGAGAAATTCGAAGATTTGTAATGTAAATAGATGGTTTGCTAATTTTTAGTAGGTAATTAGAAAAAAAAATTATCTATGTATTTAACTTATGTGCTTTTGATGAGTGTGACATATTAAAACAAGTAATGGGGTATTACATTTAATATTTATATTAACTACATTAATAATTTATTAAGATATAACAAAGAATAATATCACTTATTGATCATTTTCAAAATCAGCAGGATTCTTACGGCCAAGACGATGATGTTCCCTTTCAACTCCTTCATAAACAAGATATCCGATAATGAATGCTGAAAATTAAATTTACACCATGTAAAAGAAGAGTTCATAATTTTAATGAATCAGGCGGAATGGAGATTAATTAGACAGAATAAAACAGTAGACGGTGCAGAATTTATATTGACAGGGGCTACATAAGTAGTGTCTAATCGAAATAAAAAAATGTAGATTATAAACCTAGAATTAAAGTAAATATGTTAATTTATTACATTATTGCTTATTATGCATGACGGCCGCATCATTGTTGCTACAACAACAAATGGTCAGCACATTTTAGGAATATTATATTATATTGTAATTTTATAGTTATAAAACTTTTGGTTTTTTTCCAAAGATGAACTATATGTTGGTTAATTTTGACTGTTATGTTGACTGTGGCTAGAGAAATTAAACTATTATGAACTGTATGATGTATGCATACTTTCATTCAGGACTGAATGAAAACACAGCATATATTCTTGAGGATTTACATATCTTTATGAGGTGACAGAATATTGCAAATATATGCAGTAATTCTGGAATAACCGAACCTGACCTAACCTAACCTATACTCTATATATACACAAACTCATAATATACATACTATATTTTTATAAAAGTATATGTATTAGTGTATACTTAGCATTGGGTTCCAAAACAGAGTGTATTCTATACATATAATAAAAATGTAACTAATAGCTGTCTGTAGATAAGATAAACATAACAATCAGTTCCAATATATTTTGCGTTATATACTAGAAAAATATTTTTTCTAGTATTTAATATGAGAAAATTTAACAACATAATAGAACAATAATCAATAGAATTTCTGTTTGTAAATGATAATCTTCTACTTGAAGGATTTAAGAGCGATATTCACAAATATATTGTCATTGATGCGTTTATAAAATCAACCTCATAAAATTTTGTTTGTTTCATTCCAATAGTTTTGCAAACAATGATTATTCGGATATGTAGTTGCGGACACAGGCATAATTGATATTACAAGGATGTATCTTCTTTAACTAACGCATGTATAAATATTGTTTTTAAAGAAATATTTATACATGCAGAATGCTTAATATTTCTCAATAATCTAATAAAATACTTACGTGGGGTTACCCTTAATACACTCTCTCGAAATCTACGAAAGAGATTTGGAATTCCATTGGAAACAGCGCCAGCGTATGCTCGTTGTTCATGAGGTGATAATTTATAGGTAATTAAACCACGAATTTTCGCTAGTTCTCCAAAATGCTTACCCATGTTTCAAATATAATTTAGAGATTATGTAATGAAATTATAAAAATCCCGTTCAAGCGACAAATTTCTGTTTTAGGGATGTTCGGTAATTCAACAATGTTTAGTCTAGACATTGATCGATAAAATCGAAACATCGATGTTAACTCCTTGATAATTAGTTGGCAGTACAAAAAACCACTATTGTTATATTACCATATTCTGTTGTTAATAAATGTTCCAGATTAGGTACAAAATACGAGATAGGGAAAGTAAGAGTAAGAGGATAGGGAAAAGTAAATCTAAAATATACATCCATGATAGTAAAATTCGTAATTTTTTTTTGTTGGGGCATGGAACAATATTTCTAAAAATATTAAATTTCTTCGGATAAATCAAAAGTTCCAAACAACAATATTGACATAAAAAACAAGAGGTAAAAAGACCTTCCAAAAAGTGTCTTCTTTTTGAAGTCTCATTTTTGCTGCTGTCAGAAAAAAACTGATCGAATGTAGAGAAACATCAGCGGTGTTCTATTCTAATATATTTATATATGTTTTTCTAATATCGGTAATTTCTGTATGTAACAGACCACAAATTAGAAACCGTAACAACAGTGCTATTGCTATTTTATAATTGTTACAGTTTCTAATTAAAGACGGAAAGTTGTCTTAAATTATTCGGACATCACTAGACTAACCCATAGTATAGTTGTTCAACTTCATTTTGTTGGCAACAATGGTGATCTGAATATAACCTAAAAAAATAGCAATAATAAATGAAAATTTTAATTGTCTGTTCGTAGTACATTCATTTTGGAATTATTATAATAATTTACTCAAGACAGTGCATACGTAATTAATTTTAGTAATACTTCTATTTATTTGTAATCGAACTATAATGTTAAAAGTCATACGGAAAAGTTATTTTCGGAGAGATATGTTTTTGACAGTATTCATTCAAAAGAAGAATTTTTTAACTAATGAATATCAGTGTACTGATGCCTGGAATAAACAAATCTCGTCGCCTCTACTAAACAGAATAAACCTTACAGATTTTTACAATACACTAGATCAACAAGTTTCATCAAAAGGTGTTATTAGTGCTCTTGATGTTGATATTTTTGCTAATGCGGTAAAAGACCCCGTCTATCTAGAAGAACTGAAGGATCTCTTGCTTAAACTGAGGCTCTCTGCAGAAACTGGTAATATGTTGGAATCCACACATCATGCCACTATTAGACATTTTATCGAATTTGAACGAATTGAGGAATTAATTGCAATTTTAAAGGACCCCCTTAATTTTGGATTATTCCTTGATGATTACACTGCAAATATTTTATTAGATAAACTTATAACGTCGTCAAAGTATGAGCAAGCGGCTACGGTGGCTTCACTAGTTATGCTGCAAGAGGAATATAATAATGACATAACTTGTGCTCTATGCCAATATGCCTGTTATAAATATATTATAGGTTACATTAAATCTGAACCTACAGAAGCAATTAATGAAAAAAAGAAAACTGAAGAAATAAAAATTAGAATCAAATATTTAAGAAACCCTTATTTTGATGATCATTTTGACATTAAAGATCTGTATATAGCATCAGGCAAAACACTGGCATGGATATCACAACAAAACAATAACAATTTAAACAATAATTTACAATTAATTGGATGGTTGACATACAGAAAAAATGATAAACTTGTGGCACTATGTAACAACTTATTTGAAAATAAATCTTCAATAATATATCCTGAAGTTATTGAGTTACTCAAAAGAGATTGTAACACTGTAGAAGAACAGTTTAAAATATCCTTAGAAAATTGCATTTCTATGTTGAGTAATGTCAAGCTTTCTGAAGTATCATTAGAAGAATCACTGAAAACTCTTATAGAAAATGCTATTAATAAAATTCAAAATCAAGATATACTAGAACAACAAAAGGTTTGTATTTTTATTAAAAAAAATAGGGAGTATTTTATAATTAGATTCTTTACATATCAAGAAATTGAAATACATTTGAAACAAATGGTACAAACTTTACTCTTAAATAAAGCTAAAGGAATTACTCCCTATGTTGTTACATGTTAAGTTATGTATTATCAGCAAACATTGAAATAGTTTATAGTTTTATCAATCCCCTATTTACCGGATAGGGAACTCTGATTCAAAATTTAGCAAGAGTTGGTTAAGTTTGTAGGACCCAATTAACCCCTAAAACCCATACTGTAGCAACATGTATTTGTATGAATATAATTGAGTTGAAATGAAAAGAAGTTCTGTGCATTTTAATCTTTGGACATAAATTTCATATGAATGATTGTAGGTGACCTTTAGTTGTACAACAAATGTTTGATGGAGGCTTATCCTTATCAGTGTGGCATAAATTTTTGTTTTCTATTATTTTTTTTGTAATAATAAAATATAATTAAACTATACAATATTTCAAGTGATTGTATTTTCACATACCTTGACAGGTATGTGAGTAAGACATTGTAAGACATTGGGGTAGACACCAATGCTGCAATTCATACAGCTGTTTTGTAATTTATTCATATGTTATATATTACAATATTACAGACTTATATTCATATGATCTTACATACATAGATATATAATACATATCATTATTGAGGGGACTAACAAAGATTTTATTCATTCATTAGTGCCAAGTACTACACATTTTCATTATTTTTTGAAGATTATTTTTGATAATTTCTATATTGTCTTTCTTTTTAATTTTAGTCATTTAAATTATGGGAAGAAATAAGAGAAGAAAAACTAGAAGAACAAACAAAACGTTTAGACAGAGCTAGGCGTTTGCAATTAATTCAAGAAAAAGAAGCTGAGATGAAGGAAAGTGAACAAAAATTATGGTTTTTCGAAAATGAGGATAGTTTTGATTTAGAAATAGAAGAAAAAGAAAAACTTACAGAGGAAAGTGCTGCTAGAAATGAAACAACAAAAAATACTGATGACAATTATATTCCACCAGAAATTTTACCTAAGCGAAAATAAGAATATTTAATAGGTTATTGGAATAATTTTTAACTTACAGACCATTTTACAGAAGATTTATTCAAATGATATTGCGGAAGCAGTAGTAATATTACAGATTATTGGGGATTGATTCTTTTTGCATTTGGGTAAGGTCAAGATTGACTTTCTTCAAAATGTCTTCAGTCCTCTTAGCATTTTCATTTTTAATATTATCTTCTAAATCAACAATGTCTCTAGCTAGAGAACCAGTATCATTTACCAGAGAGACAATTGTATTGCATTCTGAATGTAATAGTGCTAGTAATTTGTAAGCCTTCTTAGCTTGGTCATCTTTCTTTGCATCCTGCAATAAATTTTATACAAATATAAATTCTGTTTTTCAATACATGGCATATTGACTAATAAGCTAAGCATATCTTTTTAACGATATTAATATTTGAATCCCAAAATCCTTTAACATTATCCTATCTACTGCTATAACATATTATTTTTTTTAAATGAAAATCAATTAGTAATTGTAAGTATCATTTACATAATAAAATCAAAGCAATATTTAATTAAGTCGATTTAGCATAATTCCACCTAAAGCCTATTTTATGTAACAGGAATGTGAAACAGACTGCCATAATTCATAAAAGCACCATTACATTGTACACCATACCATCATAACATCATGGCTGCTCATTATCGTTTTTTAACTGTAAAAGTAACTGATACCAGCTACTTTTTATGCAGCCTTCTATGTCACTTATTGTTGGATTCTTCATTATCACATAGTCAAATGCACATTATTTATTACATTAAGGATTAGACTGATAATTTTATTTAAATTAAAATTAGATATTTCGCATATTTATAGGTACTTAACCATAGGTTTTATCATTTAAAAATATTTAGTGGTAATATCTTACCCTGAATAAAGTTTCATCAGCAATAGTAAAACATCGATCTAATTGACCTTCCAAAGAATTAATTTCTTTCTGTAGTTGCCTAGTGTCTTCCAATATTTTTTTTATTTCCATATTTTGTTTATCAACATTGCTAATTATTTCTAATATTCTTTTAGTGTAGATTGATCTGTGAACAAAAAAGAAATAAGTGTCATCATACAACATGTATCATCGTTATTACATAGTATAAAATAAAGTCTCCTGTCTGTTCCTATGTATGCTTAAATCTTTAAAACTATGCAACGGAATTGAAGCGGTTTTTTTTACTAGAGTGATTTTAGAGGAAGGTATATAATACATGTACACCCGGGCGAAGCCGAGACGAGTAGCTAGTTACTATATAAATAATTATTCTTCATTAATTATATTATTACTAATTTACCAGATAATAGATACAATAGAAATACAGAGACAGCACCACTTTACGGCACTGAGTTCTCATGACATCCAATAGTTATTAAAAATTAAACTAAATAACAATATGAATTAAAATTGGCATATGTATACACACAATATTTGTAATCTATTATGTTCCAGTAAAACTGTAACTATAGTCTATACCAATAACAGTTGGTATTTATTTGTCTAAAATTTTTCAATTAAAAGACCACAAACCTTTTATTGCCTCCTTTTAGTTTTTCATAGTTTATTTTTAATTGCTTTTTTATTTTCTCTTTATTTTCATACTCATCTTTCATTACTTTAGCGTTTTGTTTTAAATTAATCAGTGCACTTCTGCATTTGCTTCTTTCAGACTGCAAATAATATTATATATTTATTTTTATTCAATGAATAATCAGGATTTAATCTGTCTACAAATTTAGTCTGATACGAAAATAACTCATCAGTACATAACTAAAATAATATATGATGCTCGAAACAATTTGCTGAACATTTGTAAAAGTGAATGTCCAGGATATTATTACCTTGGTATTTATTTTTACGAATAATCTAAACGCTCAAAGATAAATAAACAACTTTGTACAACTCACACCCTGACTTCCACCCCTCCAATTCAAACGGGATTCGAAATTAAGACGGCCTGAGCCGAGATTCTAATCCTCTAGTAGTGGCATAAGTTGTATCCATCAGGCAGGAGTTGGCCTTCAGTCGTTCTATAAGTCCTTCCGCAGTTTTGGAGTGCCATTTGCACTCTCTTTCAGTGCCAAATTCAGTTGAGGCCAACAACATTAGAATAGTTCGAAAAAAACTGCTTCTAGTTAGAAATATACTCTTAAATACAAAATGTTTATATATACACATAATTATTATGCGAACTTGTATATTACGTTAAAGTTCAGTTTCGTTCAAAGCAAGTGTAATATTTCCTATCTTAAGAATTATATGGGAGATGCACACTTCATCTCCTATAAGATTTTTATATTAGTCTATTTATTAAATTATGCCCATTAGCCTCTTAAAGCGTCGAAAACTATCTCCTAAAATAAGTAGTAATACTGAGTGGTAGTGGGAAGCACTCTAGATTGTGTAGGAATATCATAATAATCAGAATTATTATGCAGTCTACACACAACTCCAAAATCAGGGGCGATATGGAGCCGAGGCTAAAAAAAAATATCCAGAGCCCTCTCCACCACTGCTCTGCATAGGTATACTCATTAGTACCTCTGATAAAGCCATAGTGTTTCGTATTTTATCTACTTCTAATTTGAGTGATAAGTTTCTAGATGTCAATTCTTCACTTTTCCTATGCAACATATTAATGCTAGCTTGCACTTTCTCCAATGTGTTGTCTGTTGCTCCTTCATTGTCTATGTTAGTTATTCCAATACTATTTAAGATATTTTGTAGATTTTTCATATCTCCTTCAACCCTTTCACATGATTTTAGAGCCTGAAAATCCATACCAAAAATATAAGTGTGTTTATTTGTTTACCTTGTCATGACTGTTGACCTGTATATATTGTTAGTGTTATTTGGTTAGTATATATATATATCATACTGGCTCCCCCAAATTTTAGTGCACAGAGAAATTACATTTTTATAAAACAGGCAAATTCATTAATTTGGCTATTTAAAATGTGTATAAATAATATTGATAATTGCTTTAGTATCATTCATAAATTTTTACATCAGATTTAATGATATTTGTAGATATGATAGTGTAATTCTTATTAAGATAACTTAAAAAATGTTTAGATACCTGAGAATATTCAACATCCATAACATTTCTCTCACTCTCAAGAGAATCTAACTTTTGCCTGAGATGAATAGCTATTTCTTTTAATTCCTTCAGGCTTTTATTTGTTTCATATGTAACATTTACTTTTTCTTCACACACATTTTTGATCTTATGAACAGGTGTTATGGGTAAAGCTTGTTTTTCTGTTGTTATTTCTTTTATCTTGAGTAGCTTTTGGATCAATTCTTCTTTCGTGAGACTAATCTCCACTTTAGACTGTGTGCAATTTTCTAGAAATAAATGCTAGTGTCTACAACGGTTGGTCTATTTAATTGTTATTATTAAATAAAAATATTATTAAGTACCTAATTGACTCTGGACTACTCAAATGGGTATATTGTCCAATGTCCCATCAGAATGAATAAATAATACAAATGAAATATAGTAATTATGATCAGTGATAACTTGATTACCTTTGCCATTTGTAAAATCACCAACTGTCTGTTGCCCTGGATGATTGCAACATGGAGGTATCCAAATCAAGTTCATTTCTTCACCAATTTTATATTTAATACTTTGTAACAGTAAAGATTTTCTATTTGTATCTATAGCGTCGGGTGTTATCTGTTTCCCTTCATTGGGTAATCTTTCAATCAAAAACATAAAAACTTGTCGCAACTCAGTCTCATTATAATATAGAAATGTCTGATACCCAACATCATTCTTGTAACCAAGGTCCTGAAATGCATTAAAGATAGTAACAAAAGCATTCTAATTGATCTAAATATTCCGATAAATGTTTATTAGTCTACCAATATGATATAAACTGCAATATTTGTAATTATTCTCGCACTGAATTGATAATAACTTCATACATCCTCAGTGGTCTAGTGGCTTAGCGAAGTAAAGCAGTGTGCTTTACTTCAAATGGTCAGGTTCCTTGCATGGTGTAAACATTTGTAGAAATGAGTATGATAGTTTATATAGGTCAGGGTGTTTCTATGTATGTACCCATAACACAAATATCTTGGGACATTGTGTGAATTTTCCTGCCCTATTATTATTATATTACAAGTCATATAAATTTGTAAGAAAGAATTAAAAGTTCCACCAAAAATCAACCTAATTATTAGTAATAGTTATTAGTTTCACAAAAAACTTATCAAAATACTTTTACTATAGGTACATAGTATGAAACAAAGTTGCTGTCACTGTCTGTTCCTATGTATGCTTCAATCTTTAAAACTACGCAACGGATTTTGAAGCAGTTTTTTTTAATAGGCAGAGTGATTCAAGAGGGATGTTTATATATATAATACATGTACACCTAGTATAATAGTATTTGATAGTTTACCTTACATATGGAAGCTATTTGGGCTGCCACTTCTATTCTGTGTGATATGCCTAATGGTAATTTGATAGGTACTTTTAATAATGGATTAATTGTGATTAAACATTTAGAGGCTGACTCTATAATTGTTTCCACAGGCAAATCACATAGATTTTTAACATCATCATCAATGTTGCTAAAAATAATGTAAACAGTTTAATAACATATTTATATTTTATTAAAATTCACTTACATTTAGAACAGTAGTATGTTCTAAATTTTTTTTATGTTTACAAGACTTAATTCAAGATGACAAAAGAATAAAATGATGCAGTCCAGCTATATATCATCTATCACCAGCTGGCCAGGATGCTGATACCAGCAGTTTTTAAATGCATGCAAATTTTAAGCTTGATTGGTTGACAAGAAGTTTAAACATGGACTCCACTCCCCCCATCCCCCTCCCACCGCCGAAATCGATTGTAGGTACTGTAAAGTCCTACCATTACTGATACTGATGATAACTGATAATAAATAGTTACCAAAATGTATTTATTTGTTACCTTTGCATAAGTAAATGCAATGAATTTTTAGTAGAGATTAATTTAATAATATATAATATTTAGTGGTACTCATGAAATCATGGGCATATGACCTTATCCCTATCTGTTAGTTAACATACATTGAATTATTCTGCAGTTAACATACATTGAAGTTCACAATTTGTTTTAACTAGTGGATGGATGATTTATTAGGTCAGTTCAGTTAAGCCCTTGTGTTGTCACAATGGGCTAACTCACTTGGCCTAATACAAACTGACAAGGAATTTAAGACAATGGTTTCCAGGGGGACAACATGAATGTCCTAACATGCACCTAGGGTCACTAATCCCATTCTCCTAGGGGAGAAAGGTATAGCAAGCAATGTACCATGTCAGGTTAACCTCCATGCGGTTCCCCCTGGAAACCATTGTGATAAATTCCCGGTGAATTTATCACGATGGGCTAACTGACCTGACTTCATGTTCATCTTATCATCCTCCACTGGTGGCCCGCCAGCGTAAACCGTTAGCGCAAGCAGATGCACCATTCTGTTATCATCCATAAAAAAAAAATCCATTCTCTCGTATTTGATAAATTATATATTAATTTATGTAATAAATAGTAGATTAGTCTGTACAATGATGATTTTAGCTTTATACTTATTAATCTCTTTTCGGTGTCAATTTCCAAAGACATATATACATTATCATATGAATTAGAGAGAATAACTTCATCTATTAATAATGATTCCATTATTCTGACTTACATATTTAACTGCCGAAGAAAATGTAAAATAATAGAATCAACTTCTTCCATGTTATAGAAAACTGGTGAGACTTTTCTATAATCAAATAATATGGAATAACTTCTCAAGAGGTTTAAAAGACTGTTGTGAGTTTTAGCTTGTTATGAAAAGGTCTGACTCGATCAAGCGACTATGACAGCACGTAAGTGATTGATGCAATAAGGATGTTTGTTAATTTAATAATACATTTATAAAATATATCATCAATAACAATGAAATTAACCATTACAAGAAATGACCAAAAGCTGCTAAATATACTCTGAAGCAAAGAGTAAAGTAAATATACCAAAAGTAACGATATTAAAATATAATCGATTTTTATTTAAATCGATTATTATTTTCTATTAATCGATTTTTTTATAAATCGATTTTAAAAATTACGGGTTTTAATCGATTTTTCATAAACAGAGTTTTCACTCATAGTTTCATTTTATTTTAATATTACTCTTACGTAAAACGAGACGGAAAATTAGTGCAAGTAATTATTTTTCCTCTTTTGATTGGTTAAACTTAAAGATTAACTTTAAGATTTTATTTTCATTTATATTACTTTAATTGATTTTAAATCTAATAAATTGTTAATATGATTATCTTAGGAGTATTATTGGAATATGAAATGAATGTAGATTGGTACGTGTTGATGTGGCTCGAATGATAGATGGTAGGTTTGATGGCTTCAGAAGATTACAGGGTTGTTGAAAATGATAGAATTTGCTTACTATCTTAAATTTAATGGTAATAATACTATTAATTACAAATTTGGTGAAGTGAACAAATTATACGTTAGATCGATCGGTTGATTTTTGAAGTCTGTGCGTTACGTTGCGTATTTAAATTGGATGGGTGTGCGGTCCCATCAGAACGCTCCCTTTGTATTGCGTTTTGTTACTGCTTGGTATGCGACAAGATCTTTATATAAGAAAAAATCGATTATTAATTTAAAAAAACTCGATTGTAGACAAATCAATAAATATTAAATAAAAAAAAATCGATTTTTATTTAATCGATTCTTTTCCATTAATCTCCATCCCTAACCTAAAGGCTCTGAAGTCTGATCTGTAATCTATGGGGTCGGAGGTTGTAAAAAATGTCAATTGCGAATATCAATTGACATTCGACAGATTAGTACATAGAGTTAAAAATCTGACTGAGTCCGTACACGGAATTTAAAATATACAGTGCCTGCCAATATTTTCATCTTCGTATATGTTTGTATGATACAGATGTACTAGATTAAAGAGCCAAATTGAATTTACTAAAAGTCTGATAAAATGTCGCACATTAACACAATTATTTTTATTTCTTCCTGCAAGTAACTACTGTTAAGGATGGCAACCCCTGTCTATAATCAGTGACGGAATAGAGAAAATGTTTCTGAGCTGTGGTGTCTTGACTGCTGGAATTAATTCTCATTCTTTTAGCGGTTTCCAGACTTCCTTGTTAGTTATTTAATTACGATTAATACAGTTTTCTTTTTAATTCTACTTGTTTAAAAGTGTGTTGATTTTATAGTTAACCTTGCCAGACAATTAATTGAAAACCGATCGGTCCATATAAGATAAAAAAAATTGTCGACTGCTGTGAAAAACTAACTGAACCTTTTGGTGTTACCCAAAGCCAACAGTGTGTAATATTGCGCTGCATAATAATAAGTAAGTGTATTTATTGTATTTTCGAATGACAAAAAACATTGTGGATGGTTTATAACCGTATGAAGTTAAAACATATATTCAAGTGTTTTAGAATTAAATTTTCATATTGCTTTCACTTTAACAAGTGTTAACACTTTTCATTAGGCGAATCGAATTTATGTATGTATTATAATCGTTATATGATTATTTTTTTAATTAATTACGATTAAAATTACACATATTTATTGCTCATATTTTTTAAATATATCAATGCCTACATTTACAGGAACATGTTTTCAAATTTTCCTTGCTTATCTAATAAGGCTAAGTTATACAACCTGCAATGCAGTTGATAATGTGAATATTAAATGAATAAATAATTATTTCAGCACCAATATGGCAAATCAATGGGGCCAAAAGGCAGAGGAATTAGAAATAACAAATAAAGTTGCTGGAATAGGCTTACAAAAACCTCATGATCAGACAACTGACACTGATGATACACCTGATGCCGCAAATCCAGCAGAAACATCCCTGTTAATGAAAATCATAAGACAGGGGTTAGTTGAATCTAAATTAGATATTGAAGTTCAGAGAAAAGATCCAAATTCACCATTGTACTCTGTAAAAACATTTGAAGCACTTCACCTGAAGCCAAATTTGCTCAAAGGTGTTTATGCTATGGGTTTTAATGCTCCATCCAAAATTCAAGAAACAGCATTACCAACACTTTTGGCGGACCCACCACAGAATATGATTGCTCAATCTCAATCAGGGACTGGAAAGACAGCAGCATTTGTGTTAGCAATGTTGAGTAGAGTTGATTCTTCAAAAAATTTTCCACAAGTCTTGTGTCTGAGCCCAACATATGAACTTGCAATTCAAACAGGTGAAGTTGCAGCTAAAATGGCTAAGTTTTGTCCTGAAATCAAACTGAAGTATGCTGTCAGAGGTGAGGAAGTACCTAAGGGTACAAAGATAACTGATCATATTATAATTGGAACACCAGGCAAGATGCTTGATTGGAGTGTGAAATTTGGCATGTTTGATTTAAGCAAGATTAAAGTCTTTGTTTTGGATGAAGCTGATGTTATGATAGATAGACAAGGACATCAAGATCAGTGTATTCGTATTCACAAGTGTTTGCCTCCAACATGCCAGATGATGTTCTTTTCAGCAACATATGGTAGTGCAGTAATGGAGTTTGCAGAGATAATTGTTCCCAATCCAATTATTATTCGGCTGCTTCGTGAAGAAGAATCATTAGACAACATAAAACAATATTACGTAAAATGTCAAAGTCCAGAAGAGAAATATAGAGCCATATGTAGTATTTATGGAGTAATTACAATAGGGCAGGCTATAATTTTTTGTCATACAAGAAAAACTGCCGGTTGGTTATCAGAGAAAATGTCTAAAGATGGTCATTCTGTAGCTGTCTTATCAGGAGAACTCACTGTAGAACAAAGAATAGCAGTTTTAGATCGATTTAGGGCAGGTTTGGAAAAAGTTCTTATTACAACTAATGTCTTGTCAAGAGGTATAGATGTAGAACAAGTAACATTGGTTGTAAACTTTGACATGCCAATGGATATGGATAAGAAAGCAGATTGTGAAACTTACTTGCACAGGATAGGGCGTACAGGGAGGTTTGGCAAAGCTGGTATTGCTATAAATTTGATAGATTCACAACAGGCTATGCAGATCTGTTCAGATATTGAAGCACATTTTGGTAAGAAGATTAGATTACTCGACATTGAGGATGCAGAAGAAATTGAGAAGATTGGTGCATAAATTATTACTCTTATAAAATTAACTTTTATTTTTGTACTTTGCATTTAATTATATTTCACCCTTTCAATAAATTAAGCATATGTTATATATATAATTTGTTCTTACTGATTCATCTATGGACAGTTTAAATCAGAAAGTTAGAAATTTGAAATGCATTTTTTTATATAAACTATTTATTACAGGAATGCTACAAAATGGATCAAATGATTTTATGGAGAATCATTATTTTTAAAGTTAGTACATATTTTCTATACATTCCATCGTTTTTAAAATATAATGTCCTATACAGTGAAGTCAGGGTTGGTTATCCACATAGTTTTTAGATGGGTATTTGGAAATTCAACTACAAACTGGAGATATTACATTAATACAAGATGGAAATAAACAAGTTAAATAAATAATTTAATCTGCTTAAAATATATTATTTTTTAGTAAGTTGAAAAATATTAATTAGGCACAAAACATTGTACAAAGTTATCTGCAACAGACGAGACAGGTAATCAACTTTATTTTTGACCTGAAGTTGTCTTAAATTTTTTTAAACCTGTCTTAGTTGAAGGTTTAAGATATGGTAATTACATTATAGGTTAGGGAATACATGATGCTGGAATGGCAACGCATGTGCGGCACTATACATTAGTATACATGTCAACGCGATGTCCGTGGTGTACTTCATATACATATATTATGTGCATGTACTTAACATCGGGAACAAGGACAGCTTATTTGTTACAGCATTTACATGTGTGTGTGTATGATTTTTATTATCTATTGTATTTTATTTGTAGAATATGTGTATTTATTTTTTATGTGGTAGAACGTGCTATATAACCACGAGTCGTTATGCAGCACGATTGGGTACGATAGTAACGGAAAATACCAACTCTTTAGAATAACAGTTAACGGTAGGGGTTCGGGACATATATTCTCTACTTCCTAATTCCATCCTTCTAGCCTTGTGTACCCCTTCTAAGGTAAGCTGCACTGTTGCGGGTGCCTATGAGATTATAACTTATCATAATGTATGACGCAAGCTCGTTTGGCCCCTATGTTATATAATGTTTCTTAAAGTCTAATATTCTTTTATCATTTTTCGTCTATTCCATTTGTGCCATGTATCATTGCGCTTTTTCTCCTCTACCCAAAGGTTTGTCTGGAAGAGATTACTTAACCTTTTCCTTTCATGTACCTGGTAATACATTTCTGGTGCTACAGATATAAAAAAATAAGTGATAAAATTTTCGCACTGCTGAAAAATCTGGAGAACATATGGTATTTCATATCGCTAAGGTAAGGATTAGGTTCAATAACATAAATATAACAACTGTATTTAATCCATATTATTATAAATTACCTATATAAATTTAGCAAGTATATAACTTTTATTACGGTAGATTAACGTGCTGCTTGGCCAGCTGTTTCTGCATTTGATGCTGCTCCAGATATCATCACAAAGATTGCAATCGGGACTATGTACACCCACTAAAAATTGTACAAAAAAAATATAAGTTGTTTTGTATATAGTAATAGTAATACCTATAAGTGGGAAGAGGATTGTAATGTACCATGTCAGGGTTATCGCCACGCGGAAACTGGAAATCATAATGGTAAATTCCTGGTCAATTTGTCATGGTGGGCTAACTCAACTAAGCTCATGCTTATCTTATCATCCTCCACAAGTGCCAAGCCAGCGTAAACTGTTAGCGCAGATGCGCCCATTATCATCCATAAAAAATATATGGATATAATACTACTAGTATTGTATGGGGTTTGGACCAAAGTAGAACGATTAGGTAGTGTGTTAAAGTGCAACAGCATTGAGGAAAAGATTTATTTTATATAGTGGTTCAAGATTAGTTGATTATATTGATTTCAATCTTTAGTTCTATATTATACCCCTATGACCCCTACAAATTAAAGTATCTGAATACTTACATATTTTGCTAAAAATGACCTGTTGTCCTTCACTTCTCCCTTTTCTCTAGCTTCTCTCTCGCGTTCCAGTTTTTGTATATAAGAAGTAGTGTCAGGTCTGATAAACATTAGCAACTTATTAGTGCAAAATATATGATATATTTAATTAATAGTTAAGTAACATGTTTAATCAACAATTTATAAAATATTTTTTACATATCAGAAAAGAACTACTGCCCTAAAATTTTTCTTTAGCGGTAATAATTTAATCATTTTTCATTTCGGTAACACTAAAACCACATGTAAATGTTTTTTATATTAATTATCATTTATATATGTATACATGTTTGTATTAACCACTTGAATACATTTAAAGAAATACCAAAATTCTTTTACTTACACAGGAGCTAGTTCCACATGTCGAAGATAGAATTTTGAGTTTACTAAGTACCCATCTTTGCTAGCTTGAAGTGGCTTTGAAGAGTTTGTGGCTTGGAAATTAACTGCAGTAATAGCTCCATTAGGTAACATCCATGCATTAATCACATCTGAGAGTCCATTTTCGAGAAAAGATCTAGCTTTCACAGATGATATTAATTCAGTTCCTTGGTTGTCAGCAGATGTCACTAAGGTTTTCACAGTGTAAAATCCATCAGTTTCTGCAATTTCCTAAAAAGTAGCACCTTTTTCAGTACACATTTTTATGAATGCATTCAGAATAGAATAAGAATAGAATAGAATAGAAAATCATTTATTCAAATAAACTTACATTGAAGCACTTTTGAATAGTCATTACATTTTTTTAATCTACCACTCATTCGGAAAGCTGTCTCATCACAAGAAGAACGAGAAGGAACTTGCGTGTCGCTCTTTTAAATAATTTTATTATTACATTACATTTTTAAGTTTAAGTGTGTGAATACAAACCACCAATTAGCACTAATTCAATTAAATACTCAAATAGAAAAAATATTGAACATATAACCAACTGGTTAAACAATTAATAAGGGGAAATCAGTTATAGTGATTAGAGCAGACCAGTCCCTACAAGAACACCCATTCACGAGTATGACGGATGAGCCAGCCATCACTGCGCTCGACCATATTTTAGGGAGCCCAATGACCCGGCCCACCACGTCGCCACAAGTCTGGACATTTTTGTGAGCATGACTACTCAAAACACCAGACCACGTCAAAGCTACTTAGAATTGCCATCTGATAATTCCATTCTTATGTAAAATGTGAATACTATAACTATCAGATGGCAATCAATACAAAAACCGCTACGCTTTCATATTTCTAAAATAATTAAATCAAGAAAGCAATGAGAAAAATAAATTATAACATTGTATGCTGATAAACTAATTATTTACTTGATATGTTGTCATCTATGAAATAGGCTTTGTTACATAAAAATTGTTTAATATAAGATTTGAATTGCCTCACTGTCAGATTTAGTGCAGATTTTGGCAGATTATTATAAAATCTTATGCAATTACCGTAGAATGAATTACTGATTTTGTGCAGACGGCATTTAGGTAAAATTAGCTTATTTTTATTGCATAAGTTTCTGCTTGTACAGTCTTTGAGTTTTTTAAAACTCTCTAAGTTCTTCCATGTATATATGATATTTTCATAAATTCATATGTGTTAATGGTAATATAAAGTAATAATGGTTAATGTTGTGGTTATGTTATGAGTTGTTTAGTTCATACTGGTCATTTAACCAGAAGTTAAGCACAATGATTTCAGGGACAGCTTGGAGGTCAACTTGACATGGTACATTGTTAGCAACAGGAAACACCAATTTCCATCACAAACAACCCTCTCCACACACTGATTAGATGTTATTAAAGCAAAGTTTTTTTATAACATTATTGTTTTAACAAGTTGTAATTTTATCTGTCTTAAAGTATTAATGTGTTAATAATGTTGATTAGTGTTATCAGTGTAACTATAAAATAGTTGTAATACTTACTTTTAAATGTTCAATATGTTGTTTAGCAAATGGTGTTTGTTCAATGTTAGCTAAACCAGAACGAATACTCTTTAATGCAATATTACCTCGAGAGCAATAAACTGCATCCTTGCAATTTAAATTATGTTCTATTTTTATGTTCAGCCAACCATCATAATCAATACTCACCTGGAATTGTTTAAATGTTTATAACAATTAATTTATTAAAAGAATAATATTTATTTATTTCAATGGAAGTAACTCTTTAGTTCAAGTCACACAAAATATCTTCTTAATCAATGAATCAACAACAGTAACTCTTCATATACATAAATAGCATTGTTATTCTGCTCTAAAGCATGCATGAATTCTTACTCAGGTACTTAGTAAGAATTTGTGTGCTTTAAGAAAAATTTCAAAATCAATAATATCTGAATATTTTTTTCACATTTTAAGGTTAGATTTTTCGGTGAAGTTTTATGTTTAGATTATAGGAAATCGATAAGCATTATAATAATTATTTATATATGTATATAATTCTTAGTATCAGATAGTCTTCTTTTCCTTCCTCTCCTTGCATTATCAACTTTTAACCATATCATGTTACTGATGTAACAACCCAAGTTGGAGGGGACTTAATTATCAGACAAGTATCTATCTATCCATATAAGCATATAAAACATATTTCTATGTTTAACAATATTTTAAGGAGGGCAACAATATGAATCTTTGGTACTTCCTAACTTCACACTTAATAAGAATAATGTACTTGCAAATAGAAATTATAGTATCTAGTAAAGGGGATCACTATATTGTTTAAGACTCGTAAAAATATATTTATTTTAATATTATGTAGCTTACAGTAAACTGCGTGAGGCAGATGGAATACTTTTATTTATACATTCATACACTCGCCTTATATACAAGTATTTATTTAATGAAGTCGCTTAAAATAACAGGATATTTTGACAAGTTAGTCATTATTGTATATTAAAAATTTAGAGAAAAGGTACTAAGAATTTGAAGTTATTAATTGCTGAATGCTGTGTTAATTTTTTTTATATATTAAGGTTGTCTATATTCTATTTTATAATATAAATAAAAGAACATACCGCATAGTGGATGAGCTCTAATACATATATAATCGAAAGTAGACCTTTCATATTTGTCACTGAATATAGTGGTTATAAATATAACAAATTAATGTAAATCTAATAGTTATATTAACTATATATTATTGAAATTGTAATATTACTTTAAATATAATTAATAGAAGAAATCTATGTCCATGATAAATAACAACAGGCTAACTATTTCAATTTATTTGACTTCATTCAAATTTATAACATTCTTATAAAATGACAGACCTGACTGACTTTCATGATTGACGGCGCCACAGACCTCAAATATACAGTGTTTACTACTACTATATACTAGAATAGATCTAGTAATACCGTATTTACGCTAACGCTAAATTTATCCTAATATACAGAGCTGGGCACCGTCAATCAAATAGTTAACTTCGTTAAACGTTAAAGCGTTACATTTCAGAAGAACGCAAGTTAACGTTAATCGTTAATCCGTTAATATGTGTATAATTGCATTTTTATATCGTTACATTAGTGAACTTAAAAACTTGTTGGTTTAGTTTCTGGAAATTAACAAATTAGGAACGAAATAAAATACTTGTGTAATTTAATCGCCGACCATAAGGTGCATATTCCCTTTCATAAACATTAACAAGTTGAAGTTCTCGTCTGAAAGCGAGGCTCGTTTTGGTGTTAGAATGTCTTTACCTATGGAAAACAAACGTTCAACTGCAGCGCTTGAGGATATAGCAGTATTATATTTGATGAATAGATTTATGAATATCTGTTCCCCGAGGAATGCAGCATCGTTGAACGAGTCTTTTGATTTCATGTCCAACCACATTTTAACGAGACTTTGCGCTTTACTCTTTAAAGAGTTGGAGCTCTTTGGTTTTTCTATAGACTGTTCCCTCCGCCACTTAAACTATATCTGTCCTTCGAATTTTCCACTGCTTCTTGTCATAAAGCATCTTCTACCTTTTTTCCATGCACTTTTTAATGATTAACGGACTTCTGCATTATTAATGGAAGTTAACGTGTCCGTTAACTTTTTTAAAAGTTAATCTGTTAATCAAAATGTTAACTTCGTTGTATATATCTGTATACTAAACGTGCCCGCGGTTTCACCCGCGTTAAATTTCAATAAATATATAGCATATAACATCAGAATAATCTGATGCATCAGCTATATTTCCTACTGTAAAGTTTCATCAAAATCCATTCAGTAGTTTTTGCGTGAAAGAGTTACAAACATAGGTACTTACAAAATTTCGAGTTTATAATACCTACACGATAAAGGAATGGAGCTCCCGCCTGTGTTAATAGTATATGCTGGCGGGGCAGCAGTGGTGGATGATAAGATGAAGATGTGGTCAGGTGAGTTAGCCCAACGTGACATATCCCTGAGAACTTATCATGTTGATTTTTAGGGGGAGCCACGTGGAGGCCAATTTGACGTGGTACATTGCTAGCAATGGGGTCATCAATCCACATTACTAACAACTCCCTTTCTCCCCGTTATAATAATATTGTAAAGAGGTAAAGTGCGTCAGTTTGTGATTTTGGAATCTGGATCTACTAATAACTAACTTTATCCAAATAATATGCAATAAAAGAGAAAAGTCTTTTATTGCATATTATTTGGATAAAGTTAATACGACAAAGGCATGGAACCGCGACCGTGTCGCAATCTATTGAGTAATATTTCTATTAGACAGTTTTTTATCTGTTTATTTCATGTATTCCGCCGATACCCATGAATCCAGCCAACCACCTAGTTTACAATAATTTCGGTACCTACTATTTTTCAGAACTTAGAATGACTAGGTTGACGTTTAGATACTATTATTTGATATAAAAAATACATAATAAAGGACTTCTCCCTTATTGTGACTGTGTCCAAAGCGTCTGACGAGAAAGTTTCATTACATGAAATGGAAAGTCTCTTTATAGGATAACAATTCCTAGTGTTAGGTTTAATTACGTTTTTTAGTTCTCTCAGTTTTCTTATATTAATTACGAATCTGACAAACTGTAAATTAGACACCACGTCTGCTTTTCAGTCGCACAGTGCAACGGAAGTGTTTGTTCAGGCCCCACTGGGCATACTGGGTACGTGCTCCGGGGCCCGCTATGGGTTGGGTATCCCTAGTCTAGTCTAGTCCCTACTCTATTACCAAACCGATAGCTACTCTACTCTCGCTTGAAAAAAAATCTTAACAAATGCTTAACGACTATGGACAATAATTTGTTCGTTTTTGTTATTTTTTTATAAATGCCTAGCAAGTACTTGAACCTCTCATCACATAACGACTTTTAAAAATTATTTTCGCCTGGTTTGTTTTGAAGGTAGGGCAAACATATACATCTCTAAAGAGTCATGTTCAAAAATGTCTATTCTAACAAAATAGTGCTTTATAACTATGGTCACAGGGGCTCCATTATCCTAATGTGCCCAGGGCCTCTAATAGGTGAAAAACGGCCCTGTGTTTATTCTTGTCTCCAGTGGCAGCGTTAGGCGTCGGCGAAGTCGACGACCGCCGGTCGACGCGACGCCGCGACGATCTTGCGCTTGAGGGGGCCCCGCGAAGTTTTCAATTATTTAAAATTTAGTTATATATTTTCATACAATTGCGCGAGTAAAGAGAGTGATTAGTAATCTATGGGATTTTAATATATCTAAATGTTTATATAACAATTAGAATCATGTTAACAGTTTTTGTCTATACAGCTTCCGCTGAGAGAAACTTTTCAAAGTTAAAATTTATTAAGACCTATTGAAGACTTACTTTTTATGAAGACTATCTATGTTATCAGTTCTATCGATTGAAGCTGAAATAGCGGCTAGTATTAGCTATGACATAACCCTGAAAAAGTTCACTGAGGCCAAAAGCCGAAAAGTTCGTCTATTTTAATTTCTATTTGTGTATTATTTATTATTATTTCATTAGCAATAAATCTCGATTACTCATATATTTACTCTCGTTTACTCATATTTTACTCTTAATAATTCGGCTTAAGTAATTGACTGAAAAAAAAAAGGAAGTCTCGCGAACCCCAATTTCGCCGACGTCCTCGCGTGGACTAGCGCCGCCGCCGCGTCGCGTCGCCACTGTTTGTCTCGTAAATATCAAATGGTTTATTAAAATTACTCAGGGACAAAGTTTACCTGAAACTGCTACTACTGAAGCTACTGTAAAGTTTCATAAAAATCCGTACTACTGAACTTTAACTATTGCTTAAACTACCATTCCATCATTCAAATACACTATCACCTTTAAAGTGCTATTTTATTTTCGGGAAAGTTGCGATAAAATTCTATATGTAATCATATTCAGCTTTTTAATTATCACTGAGATATTAGCAATACCCGCTTTATAGCTAGCTGCCTACCAGTTACCTGTGACTTTGTTTGCACAAACATTCAACCCTTCTTACACAAGGTAGTGTTGTCACACTTATTTTTTGAGATAAATAACAGCTTATGTTCATCCTCGTAATATTTAGTACAAATCTAATGAAGTCATTTTGTGGTGAAAATGGTACAAACATTTAGTATAATATTGGTATACGTATACCTATTGCTAGAAAGGTCGTCGTGGACAATTACTTTTTAATATTTCGGTGCGGAATTCTAAAAATCTATAGAGTATGGCAATTCTTTTGGAATGTGGGTTCAGATAAAAGACTTTTTTCGGTACTTTTATATAGGGATGAAATTAAACATGAATACTTGCTTTTACCTCTGACGTGGAACATTCCACTTCAATACATTTGCTTTGAACACAAGGGAAACTCCTAGAGGGTAATCGGGTTTAGTAACATGTATCTGTTTTATTCCCAGCCACAATGGAATGTATGGCCTAAATAGTCTTGGTTTTATGGACATTACTATAATTTAAATTTTTAAAAGTCGTAAATGTCTTTATCTTATAAATAAGTGTATAGATAATCTACACTATTGTTTACTAATTTATGTATGCATGAAGGATAAGAAGATCTCTCAAATACTGCTTAGAGAGTTATCCATAAAGCCTACAAAAATACTAATTTATTCTATTATATATTTTTTGCTTTAGGATTTAATGTATTATTAACTTGAAAGAATGTAATATACATAATACATACATTATTTCAGATTACAACATTTTACATAAAAAAACACAAAACATTTAAGCAAATATCTAAAGTATGTTTATTGGATGTTTAGTAACTGTTTTTAGAAATAATAGATTAGTGGAAGTCCAATACTTCGTTCTTAGCGCTGTAACACCGATACGTGTATGAATGCATATAGCACTACAAAATAATTTGTTACCGATAGGATGAAAGAGTTTGATTTATTGTAACTTGAAGCTCAAACTTGGTTGCCAATCTAAGTTCTTAATTCCGGTTCGAACACGCACCTTTATAGGATTACAAACTACACTGGAATTGTTTTCCTATATACCTGTCTATTATTCGCCATGTTCTATAAAGGTTGCTACCTACATTTCTTTTTTCGATACATAATTGTTAGGTGCTATAGGCGGTAAGCTTCATACAATGTAGTTTTAAGAATTCTCAATGTTACCTCAAAGCCTTCTTCCTTATTTTTATCTTAATTCTTTTAATAATTTTAATACGCTTTACATTAACTACCATATGGATTTTTTTTTCCGGTAATGTATATATTAATACATGCATATATATTTTACGACTTCCGTCACTATAAACTCGTGCGAAGCCGGGGAGGGTAAAGATAAACTAACATACGTAGGTATATAGCACAGACAAGATGCATAGTGCATATATATATATATATATACTATATAGTAATAACTAACTTGTAGGTAATTTAGAATCGTCACAATGTTAAAATAAACAGTTTGTACAATTCATAAAGTTCTAGCTTTGTTGTCTGGTTAGAGAATTCTAAAACGTCTTGGATGTTTTATACATCATTCGAAGGACAGACAGTGGAGACAAACTTAATTTAGTAGTAGTTGAAGTGGAAAAGCACGAGTGGAATTATTTATCCAGCAGAGCTAGTAGCGGTGACGTAGCTGTCGAGAAGGAGGGAGGAGGGGGAAGGGTTAGCCGAGGTCTAGATTGTGGGGTGCGAGTGAGACTACACGTTAGGATCAAATAATTTTTTTACTCGACTACGTTGTTGTTACCATATTGACAATAATAAGTATTAACGTCAAGTAATGGGTATAGTTATTATAAACATTTCATATTTATATATTATAATT